CTTATTTACTGTGTTAATGTGTTAATTAAGCTCTCCTCTTAATATTATAAATATCGGGACGAGAACATGTTCGAGGTAAAACTTGTACCCGGAGAGCTGGACAAGCAGAGCCCGACCCGCAGCACTTATTTACTGTGTTAATGTGTTAATTAAGCTCTCCTCTTAATATTATAAATATCGGGACGAGAACATGTTCGAGGTAAAACTTGTACCCGGAGAGCTGGACAAGCAGAGCCCGACCCGCAGCAGACTCCACAGTATCTGACTGACTTGGTAACGTCGATTACAGAAGCAGAGACTAGCACACTCAAGGAACGAGTAACGAGCCAGATTTCACTTTCTGAAATTCCACCACCAGTTGTACCAGTCGTATCTATTGGAGAGCTAATGCCGATGATTTTACTATTGCCACAACCAACTGTTGATAGAGGCGCAGAGCAGGAGGATTGGCTCTGTAAAAATAAAAAAAATATTACACACTGAGAGCACCATAGTTTCAGGGCACACCGGATTCATGTGCAGCCTATAAATGGAAGGAATATATAAAAATTTCTTAATGTCGACTCAATACCAAAGCAGAAGTTAGATGTATTCAGCATAGAGGATAGCATCAGAGGATAGCACCGACTTCAGTTTACGTTGAATTAGTGAATATCAATTTTATAGGAGAATTTCACCCACTACTTTGATAAGCAGCTAGAACTAGCTCGATTAGAGCAGGGAGATATACAAATAGTTAATTATGGAAGCAGGACTATCCGAAGACAAGGGCAAGGATAAAAAAAACCTTTTGCAAGACTTAGAAGACCCCAACATCGGGGCAAGAATTTTTAACACCGGCAGCAGAGGCTAAGATACGGTCAGTGGCAGAACCATTGTTAGGGTCAGCAGTCGCAGGTTCGCTGTTACGACCAGCTGCAGATGATTGAGACATCGCCAACCGTTTCGAGAATTGAAGGGTCAGTATGCCAGATTCGTGTCATTCAGGAGATTCCAGAGAAATAGATAGTCTCGTATTTCCACTGTCAGCAATTCAGCAGTCGCCAACCACAGACAGAGTCTATGCAGTTGTACCACGTGATCACGGTACGAGCGGAGCTATAGTAGAAGATACTTTCTTAGTGAACTCTTTTCCAGCTCGGATCATGTTCGATTCCGGAGCTTCCCATTCTTTTATATCTCATGTCTTTATGGATAGGCTTCAGTTAGTCGCACATCCCTTAGATGTACCGCTATCCGTTTCTACTCCTTTAGCGGGAGGTATCTCTATCAGGGAGCGTCTGTAGGAGATGTGTTATCAGTTTAGATGAGTCCGAGTTTATTGTAGATCTAATCATCTTGTGGATGTCGGATTTCACCGTCATTCTTGGTATGTATTGATTATCATCCTACCATATTAGCATCGACTGTTTTGCGAAAACAGTCAGTTTGTGAGTGTCCGATGAGTCTGAGTTGATTGTAGCGACATTACAGGGTAACCAGTTTGCGAAGTTATTTCTAGCATATATTGAGGAGGTGATGCTGAAAGATCGGAGTAGTGAGTTATGTGAGACTAGAATCATCTCAGATTTTCAGGATGTCTTTCAGGACATACCGGGGTTACCTCCTATGCGAGAGGTTGAGTTCTGCATCGAGTTGCAGCCATGTACAGCACCGATATCTCGAGCTCACTATTTAGTGCATAGAATGTTAGGGTTTGGGGTTATAATTGGGGGTTTGCAACCTCCTAAATAGTCGGGGTTGGCAACCCCGACTATTTAGGAACCGGATTAAGACAAAATGTATCTAATTTTTGTAAATAAAACTCAAAGGGGTCTATTTTTAGAAAAAAAAATGAATAGGTTTATTTAGAAAATTTCTTCTTTTAAAGGAGAAATGTCGTGTACACGTGTCAGTCGTCGCAGTGCGCGCAGTCTCTGCTGCCCCGGTTCGATCGAGTTGTCGAAGTCTCCGCTCTTCTTCTCCTCCTTCTTCGTCGACTTCTTCACCACCAACTCACGCTCCCCTAAAACCCTCCCTCGCCAGAATATTCCCCCAAAATGTCAACGCCTCGTCTCGAGATCTCTAGGGTTAGGGTTTCATCGATCCTCTTCCTCTTCTCCTTCTCCATTCTCACTTCCCCCGCTTCCTCCTCCAAAATCCCCTACTCCGCCCACTGCTCCTCCCTCGTCGCAGAGTCCCCGCCCACGACTCCATCCTCAACCCCAACCCTCGCGTTCCGCTTCTCCGCCGGCTACTTCACTGGCGGTGACCGGATCCTCGCCTCCGACCCCAACTCCACCTTCCGAATCCCCAAATCCCTCTCCTTCCGCCCCCGCTCCCTCCACAAAACCCTAACTCCGACCACCCTCCAGATCGCCGGAACCCTAGTTTTCAGAGGCGGCGGCATCCGGGTCTCCAACCACCACCGTGGTCTCCGCTTGCGTATCAGTCCCCGGAACCCTCGGAGCTTCGCCCAACGGGGCCGTGTCAGCTTCGATCTCGATGGGTTCTGGACGGAGTCTAGTGGCAAGCTTTGCATGGTCGGGACTGGAGTAGCGAGGTCCGCTGAAGGTTTAGCTCTCGAATTGTCTGCTGTTTTTAAGCTGAATTACCCGAATTCTTCGAATATTTTGACTAGTGTGGTTTCTGGGGTTGTGGAGAGTTTGGACGATGTGAACAGTTTGAACTATTTCGATCCGATCAGGGTTTTGGCTTATGTGCAGAAAGATTATGAATTTACTAAGGTTCCGGCGGCTGTGGGTTCCTGCTCTGCGGTTAAAGTTGACGAGGAGTTGCTAGGGTTTGAGCATAATGATACTTGTGCTTATCTCAACACACTTTCGATGCAAAAGTTCAGATTGAAGTATGGGGAAAGTTGTTTCGACCCAATTTGTGGTTCTCCCCGTCAGGATTTTGGGCTTTCTACAAACTTTATAGGTTTGAATGGTGTGCAGTGTTCAGAGGATGGGAGGTTAAGGATGTACTTTTTTCTTGCAAATGGAGAAAACTTTGGGGTTACCAAAATTATGGATCCTCTCAAGACTTTAGTTGCGGAGGGGGTGTGGGACCATGAAAAGAAGAGACTTTGCCTGGTTGCATGCCATATATTGAACTTCAGCACTTCTTCATCGCAAGAAGTTGTAGGTGATTGCACAATTCGATTAAGCTTATGGTTTCCTTCAGTGTTGTCAATCAAGAATATGAGCATGGTTTCTGGTCGGATGTGGACTACTCTAAATCGAAGTGAGCCTGGATATTTTGACATGGTTTCTTTTGAGATTGTTGAGAACCGTATGATGAACGCCCCAGGGCTGAAATACAATTACACTCAAATTGATCGAGTGAAGAAGCATTGTGCAAAGGATGATGCTAGAAAAATAGGGGAAAGGAGGTATCCAAATGTGAAGTACCTTGGAGACTTGAGATTTGACATGTCTTTAAAAAATGCTATAGATCAAAGTGCATGGGGCTATGCAAACCCGGTGTTCATTGGCGAGAACTTTTACAATAGGTATCCACCACTTCAGATTCAAGTTCCATCAGTTGTAGAGCCTAACCAGAGTTCTTGGAATGTAAGCTATCGAATAGGGTATTCATTTAGTGGTCAACCTTATCACGCTTATAGAGTGAATGAGATATCAGCTGAGGGAACTTATGATGCTCAAACAGGAGTGCTCTGTTTGGTTGGTTGTCAGCAAGGAGGCTCCTCTTTGGATTGTGACATCTTAATCAATCTCCAACTCGCTCCATTGAATCCGAAGGAGGGAGAGCATCTTATTGGAACCATAAAGAGCATGAGGAAGACGTCAGACCCACTTTTCTTCAAGCCTCTGAAAATCTCTTCGTATGGAATATACAAGACACAAGCGTCTGAAACAATCTGGTGGATGGATATAGAGATTATAATGGTCCTCATATCTCTCACATTTTCATGTATTTTCATTGGGCTGCAACTCTTTCATATCAAGAAATACCCGAATGTTCTTCCTTCCATATCAATCACAATGTTAGCTATTCTTACTTTGGGTCACATGATTCCTTTAGTGCTGAATTTTGAGGCATTGTTCTCGAGGAACCACAACCAACAGAATGTTCTATTTCGTAGTGGTGGGTGGCTACAAGTGAATGAGGTTTTAGTCAGAGTCATAACAATGGTTGCTTTCCTTTTGCTATTCTATTTACTTCGAGTTGCATGGTCCTCAAGGTCAGCAGATGAGGACAAAAAAGGCTTATGGGTTGCTGAGAGGAAAACCCTTCTGTTCTGTTTGCCTTTATATGCAGTCGGAGGGTTGATAGCTTTGCTTGTTCACCTAAGCTCTGCTGGAGTTCTAGAAAAAACCCACCGTCATTCTCTCTGGGAGGATTTGTTGTCCTATGCTGGTCTTATACTTGACAATTTTCTGCTCCCTCAGTTTATTCTCAACATGTTCTGGAACTCCAAAGATAAGTCTCTTGCCCCTTCCTTTTATGTTGGAACTAGTTTTGTCCGGGCACTTCCTCATGTGTATGATGCTTATAGGGCTCATCATTATATTCCTCATCTTAGTTTGTCTTACATTTATGCTAGTAGAGATGAGGATTTGTATTCATCTGCATGGGATATTATTATTCCTTGTGAAGTAGTAGTTTTGGTTGTGATCATATATTTGCAGCAGAGGTTTGGTGGTGCTTCCATCCTTCCTCAAAGAATTAAAGAGTCAGGTGGGTATGAGATGGTTCCTGTAGTTACTCAATAGCGTGTTTAGGAGTTTTTCAATGATGAATGTGATAGGAGGAAATCATACACAAGCAGATACGAAGTTGATGCGTGTATTTGTGCAAATTTAGATTATAAATTCAATGTAAGTCATATTTGAAAGGAGAAGAAAATGGAGTTCAGTTCAATCACAAGCTCCTCCTTTTTTTTATTTTTTTATTTTTATGTATTTATTATTCTTATTATTATTATTATAGATATTGAAGCCCTCTCACCCATTTACATGGAAGCCACTTCCACCTCACAAAAGACGTGCACGCACACAAGTGAGAAAAGAGGGGGGGCGAAAGGTGGAGGAAAAAAGATAACAAAAAAGAAAAGTAAAAATAAAATCCAGCCCTCCGACAATCTTGGTAATCGGCATCTGGTCTTGCAGTCTTGCTTGTGTGAAGTTCTCCGGTTTTTCTTTGATGAGAATGTATAGCTGTTACGTTACAAATGTTTATGTTATTTTTTTTTTAAAATTTCTATCTTGTGTCATCATTGCATCAGATTATTGTTCTGGGCATATTGTTATTCTTACAGCTTCTTCATAATTACCGTTCTTGGTTGGTTTTGGTATTTGGAAGGTTTGGTTTGACTACCAATAATGAACATAATCTTCAGCAAGGACTTCAACAAAGAAACATCTATCCAGTATTTGGAAACTTAGATACTTAAAGTGGATTCCAAATTTGTTGATGATGTAGTTGAGACTAACAGAATAAAAAGGTTTGACTACCAATAATGAACATAATCTTCAGCAAGGACTTCAACAAAGAAACATCTATCCAGTATTTGAAAACTTAGATACTTAAAGTGGATTCCAATTTTATTGATGATGTAGTTGAGACTAACAGAATAAAAATATCTAACAATAATGGTGCGTTTACAATTTTATCTGATACTAGTATGGTGCACGTGCGATGCACGTGTAAAAACGTGTAAAAACTTTCGTGGTGTTTATATGTAGCCCCATAGTTTTTATTGCATTGATAAAAAAATTCTATGTGACATATATTTGAAAGATGTCATAGGTAATATATATTAGGTTTTGATTGAATAACTTTTAATTGGCAATGTATGTTCATTCTCAGAAATGATTTGTCACTTTTATTAATTGATGATATAAATAGACGTTATAGGGGTATAAATAGGATCATAAAGAACACTCATTTGATATATATAAAAACCAAAATATTGACAGAAAAAAGACCACAAAATAAATGAGGTAACCGAAATTATTTAATTATATGTCTACTTAATGTAGCAAAATCATATCTTTTTTAAGTTTGACATAAATAGACAGAAGGGAGCTCAATTTGAGCACCATTTATCAGATTCTAAAGATGCATCTTTGTCAAACTGTAGACAACCATGGGGAATCGGGCTGTAGCAAGGCAATTTGATCTATAACAGCTAGATTCCATGATCTGCAGATGAAACTGAATCGAGCATGATCAGACATCGTCAACTTTTCTAGGACCAACCTAACTATAAATGTTACATAAAGAGTGAAATCACATTTGAGATTAAAGATAATATGTTGCATTGTAAATAGTTAACAGCTTTAATACACATCTTCGCTGCATATTAGAATGTTGTGTTAGATAATAATTGTCTGAAAGATAAGTTGTACAAAATGTGCATCATAGAATGAAAAAATAATGAGTCATGATTTTGATGAGGTGATTTACCTTTGAGGCAATAATATTTCTGGATACACGATATTTTTTACATATGTTTTTGTTGTTCTTCTTGTTTGGTCAATTTTCACTAGTACATTAGTTGTTCTCATTGATATCCTCCTTGATAATGCAACATATAATTGACCATGTGAGAATACATGGTGCGGCAAATAAACTCCAACATAAGGTATTGGGTGCCCATGTGCTTTGTTGATTGTCATTACAAAACATAGTCGGATTGGAAATTATTTTCTACGAAATTAGAATGGATAACCCTCATTTTTAGCTTGAGATAATGGTATTCTCGGAATCATGACATTTTGACCAGAATGTTAACCAACTGTGATTTCAGTATGGATGTCATTATCTTCATATCCTCTACAGATCATTCGTGTGTCATTTCACATTTCATTAGATTGATCAAGATTACGTAACAGCATGATCAGACAATTTCTTTTAAGAATTAATTTGTGAGGCGGGAGTTCCATTATCAAAACCAGAAGCATCTTTAAATGAAACGAATGTTGGTTTCAACTTCTCCAATGATACAAAGTTTTTTGTTTCTCGAATGATTGTCTTTATTGTTAGAGTCAACTCCTTATTTGGATTAATTGTTGGATATTTTAAATTTGGAGGCTTTACTTCTCCATTTGTTATAGTATATATGTTTCTCCCTTTATCAATAAATCGCTGAACTTTTCTATCAGCTTATTAAATAAAATTGCTTGGATAAGTGTTCTCTGCAAAAGGTACAATGGACAATAAATCACGTTATCACAGTAATATGAAAATTACATGGAATAATAACAATGCAAAATTCATATCACCTCGTCATCAATTAGAACTAAAAACATGTGACGACGACTATGCCAGAAGTCCGTCATCCCGCGGCTCTCCGGAACTCTGAGCTGCTGCCTGAAAGGTATTGGAAAATATAAAGAGAAACAACAAGAGCGTTAGAGCGCTACAGCAAGATCATCTCCATCCGCCCCTAGGGGAAGGGCTACTAGATGTGATGGATGCTTTATCTATTAAGCATAGTCTACCTAGATTATTTACCTTGTATCTAAATGGAATTAATATTTAGAAACCTACAACACGAGACGTAGTACGTCGAGCGAAATAATCCAAATAAGAAAACCCTCATGTATATATCATATGTCTCAAATTGTAGATGACTAAATATCAATACCAAACTAAGAATAAATAATCTAAATAGAATTAATAATTAGAAGCTCACAACACGAAACTGGTACGTCGAGCGAAATAATCCAAACAATAAAAACTCTCATGTATATACCATATGTCTCAAATTGTGAATCGATAATTATCAATTCCAAACTAGGAATAAAGGAAAGCAATACAAGAAAGTAAAGTCATCACAATATCGGACCAAAAATATCCTCCACTATCCATTGGAAGATAATATAAATAACAGTATATAATCTCGCGTACCTACAAGAGTAAAGTACCTCGGTCATATATAACTCAGCGATGAGTCATGTTCATAATGGCGTCCACCAAGACTCAGCCTATAAGATAATTATCACAATGCAAATCCTCGCAAAGTTTATAATTCATTGCATTATCATGCAGGGCGGACTACCAAATCAGCATCCTCATAGTGTACACGACTCATTAGTCTCATCGCATCAACGTGCAGGACGGACTACCAAATCAAGGCATCATAGGTATACAGCTCACAAGCCTCATCGCATCTACGTACGGGATGGACTACTAGATCAAGCATCCTAAAACCCGACTCAATGCCCTGTACTAATGGTATATCGACGCACTATCCCAAGTAGTACCGAGCGGTGCTCATCAACGATATACATACACTTATATAATATTTAAATAACACATATCCCAAGTGTGGTTAAAAACAATACATGTATTAATCCTTGCCAGGATATCTGTATGTGTGCTACAACATATATGCTCATGATTGTACGTGTGTCATCGTGCGGCTCGAATCCAGCACTCACGGTCAAACGATGCAAAAACAACCACTCAAAAATAAAGAGAACACAGGTCGGTCGACCGCCCTTAGAGCGTTAGTCGACCAAAAGCAACCGTACACACAATGTGCATGCTCAGGGCCTCACCGGTATCTAGGAAAGAGGTTACACGTCTATTCAAATACTCACTTATAACCTCCGGAGCATTTATTTTTTTGTTGCCCATAAATGTGAGTGTGAGTTGTGATATGAGGTAAAGGAATTAACATTAATGAAAGAGATTAATATGATGATGGGAGGTTACAAAAGTGTAAATAACATAGTCATGATAATATAAAATTATTTGATTCAACATAGTGATGGTAAAATAAAATTATTTTGGGGTTATGAGTATGCATTTAATTAGGGATTATGTATGTATGGCTATGGTTTATGTATGGATGCATGTAGTTTATGTATATATGTATATGTTTAAAATGATATTTTCGGAAGAAATGTTTTATCATACCAAGCCACTTTTATAATACTATTAGTATGGTGCACGTGCGATGCACGTGTAAAAACTTTCATGTTTATATGTAGCCCCATAGTTTTTATTGCATTGATAGTTTTTTCTATGGGACATATATTTGAAAGATGTCATGGATAATCAAAATAGAATAACATTCTAACAGAAGAAATACAAATTTCAGCCACTTGAAGTACTTGGTTCCATTTTCATTTTCTTCTTCAGTATTTCACTCTTGAGCCCAAATAGTCGTTTTTTGGCGTCAATAACTTTGCTACTACCAGTTTCTTCAGTTTTCACAGTAGGAGGGTGTGTTTCTTCTACTTTTCGAACCTCCTGCGCAATTATACATCTTGCTTTTCGATTGGATTCTTCTTTTTCATTTATCTTCACAAGGAAAACATATTCCTTTTCTAAGCATGATTTCATTTTCTTGTAATATTCAGAAGATTCATCCTCAAACATCTCTACATATGCAATAGCTGTGCAACCAATCAAAATTTCTGCTTCGTCAAATAAAGTTACATATGTTGTATTTGTTCCATCATTTACATCTTTGGGCGTAAGTTATACCTGGAATGATTTTTTTACATAAGAAAGTGTAAATATATATTAACAATAATATAACAATTAATGTATATTATCCAACCTGATTGTCCAATTTGAATCTCCATTTTTACGGTTTGTGCAATTTGCCTTGCTGCCATTAATCTCATGCACTATCTTTTTGCATTTTGCACATGCACTAAAAAAATGGTTCTTCCGCATTAATTATTATTATAATTTTTGCCGCAAATGAGCAAAACATACTCTCGAGAGAAGTCAAAAAAAACTTAGATAATTAATTAAATTAATTTTTATGTAATACATTTAACATACCTTAAATAATTGAGGCAAAGTATTGATAACATCAATCAGCTTGACCCTATTTGCTTGAGTGATCCTTTTTGTTGGTGTCAATAATACATTTTTACTACTCTCACTGTTTGAATTACCAAGCCTAGAAGAAAGAGTTAAAATTAATGAACAATTCATTTTTATAAAATGACTTTTTTATGTATGCCCTTCAATTATAGATATCTTGAAACTTACACCACAAGTAATTATAATTTCTAATTTGAAAATTTTAATGACAGCATTGACATTATATTCCTGTTTATATATTAAGAAAGAAATGACCCAAATAATCATTGAATAATTTTTAACCATGTTTTGTTCTTCAAGTATTATAGTTCTCTTCCTATTGTCGTTGTTATTACTATTCCAAGGATATTTTAATTAAATTATTAAAATATCAAAAGTTAAAATCTATATGGTTGAGATAACGTGTTTTAATATTGGCTTTAAAACTTTATTAGGATAAAATACTATTGAAAAAATATCAATGGCCAAAAAATATTAAAATAACTTGAGAAAATTCGTTTTAATATTGACGTAGGTGTTGGACTCGCCAACAAATACCATATTTCGTATGCAACTACACCATATGGATTATTTATTTGGCAACTGATCTATTTATTGAACATGAAATCTTTTCTAACTTTTATTTGTTGTTATGGTCAAAACTAATATTTATGAAAGAAAGCTATTTCCTATGGTTCAAGCCTCTGTTAGAAATATAATTAAATTTCTAGGAGTGTACTTAATTTTTCAAGTGTCTACAATACAATTCAGCATCTAGACGTGATGTTTTATATATTAAATAATATATTAACTTTTTAGTAAATTATAATTAATTCAAGAAAATATTCTATCAAGATTTTTTGATAGTTAAGAGAAGTTGTAAAGATAAATGATATAACTATTTGTTTAGGATAGATCTGCAATAACAATAATGTAGGATGTAATTTTAAAGTTACCTATAATTTGAGGGGTATATATCGTAAAACTCATTATAAAACTTTGAAATAAAAGAGATAAAACTTGCATACCAGTCTATCATTTCTTTACATTGTGGAATTTCAAGATTCACGAGCACAAGAGTTGATGGCTTTGTAGATAATTGAAACTCGCCTAAAAATAAAACAAACGTGAAATTAAAATATTTTCACATCATTTTAGAACCATGCTTGTCGTTATTTATTTTACCTAAATAATGTCTACCAATTACGCTTAGTAATGCAACAATGGGTTTCACATCTTTCAAATTTTCCAAAGATGATCCTTCAATCTCCGCTAAATCGCCCCATAGTGTCACTGAAAGTTGATCAAACCTAAATTTAAAAAAAAAATATTAGTTTTTTACCAATAATCCGTACATAATAATAAATAATAATATTAAATTCTTACTGTTTATTCATACTTATGACCTCCCTTCTTTTGAAAGTGGGATTGCTAAATGTTGTCTTCATAGTTATTACGAATCCAACAATATCTGCAATAAAGAAATTATAGTGATTATTAATATGTAGAAATCTTTGCATCATAATTTTTTTAAAAATCTTACCAAAAGATATTTTTCCATCATCAAAACCAGAAGCATCTTTAAATGAAAGGAATGTTGGTTTTAACTTCTCCAATGATACAAAGTTTTTTTGTTTCTCCAATGATTTCATCTTTAAATGATTGTCTTTGTTGTTAGAGCGAACTCTTATCTAGATTAATTGTTGGATATTTCAAATTTGGTGGCTTTACTTCTCCATTTGTTATAATATACTCCCTTTATCAATAAATTGCTGATATTTTCTATCAGCTTATTAAATAAAATTGCTTAGATAAGTGTTCCCTGCAAAAGGCACAATAGGCATTAAATTATGTCATCACGGTAATATAAAAATTACATGGAATAATAATAATGTAAAATTCGTATCACCTCTTCATCAATTAGAATCAACTTTTGCTTCTTCCCTTCTCCATTTTTGAAGTTGTCTATAGTATTACGTAAGACACGAACATTCATACTCCATTGTTTCTGATAAATTTTGAACTCTCGGATCGGGATGTGGGCTTCATCATTAATTCCATCTTGATTAGATGACATCCTTCACAAAAAAAGAATAAAATATATGCATAAAAATAAATGTGATGAAGGGTGATTTTTTCTGAAATGTAGTGAAAAAGTATCCTACTACCTTACAAACAAAATCGTGCTTTTACTAACCTCTTTGAATCACATAGTGCTGCTTCCATCTACTCCGTTTTTTTTTTTTTTTTTTGGTAGGATTTGGAAAGATTTTGTAAGATGGGTGTTGTGTATGGATTAGATTTATCTAAGATTTGAATTATAACTGAATTATGTAGTAACGGATTGCCAAATAATTATGAAGTAACGGATTGCCAAATAGTTATGGAGTCTATATTCAAATGCTTTAATATTAGATGTGATTGTCAAATAATTATGAAGTAACGGATTGGCAAATAATTATGGAGTCTATATTCAAATGCTTTAATATTAGAGGTTGAGTAATTACATTATGTAGTAACGGTTAATGTGGAAGAAATTAAACGGTCCTTTAGGTTTTATAAATTAAACGGTTAATGTGGAAGTAATTACATTATGTAGTAATGGAGTCTATATTCAAATGCTTCAGGTTTTATGAAGTAACGTATGCCTGCTCACATCTTGCAGCTTGACATGGACTATTTGATTCAACATAGTGATGCTAAAATGAATTTATTTTGGGGTTATGAGTATGCATTTAGGTGGGTTTATAAATGTTATGTATGTATGTCTATGGTTAATTGGGGGTTTATAATTATTTAATTAATTGGGGTTTATGTATGTATGGCTATGGTTTATGCATGGATGCGTGTGTTTTTATGTAAGCATATATGTATTTTAAAGGGTATTTTTGAAAGAAATGTTTTAACATATCAACATACTTTTATAATAGTATAGTATAGTATAGTATTATTATGTCTGGTTTCGAGGTTTGCAGAGCGTGAAACGTATATTATTATGTCGTGTTTATATCCCTTTTCAAGCTCCAACGCACCAGCGCACAGCAGTTCTTCAACTGTAGATACTAGATAGGAACATCGTGTTGCTTCCTTCCACGTTTGTTTTTTCTCCCTCCTCCTCGTGTTATTCCTACATCCATTTACAGGAATGCACTCTGCTGCTGGAATTGTTAGGCGCAATTCTGCTTTGGTTTGCTCGCTCACGCGAATTGGATTTGTTAGATGCCTCTCTGCTTGGTTTAATAATTTACACCTGTTCTTTTTCACTATTTGAAAAACTTTTAAACTTCTGGGTCTTGAGTGCTCCTATAGTTTTTACTCCTTTTGTGGACAATTGCTTGAGATTGTATCGTACAACTTCATTTTCTATCGATATCCTTGTGTTGTTTTGAGAAATTATCATTCAGTTCTGCACGAAAAGGTGGGTTTGAGATTTAAAACTGTTGCCCATCAGCACGGGTTTGATATTAGGTTAATGGTTTTTGTTGTTGATTTTGCAAGAGAGAGAGAGAGAGAGCTAAAGAACCCGTGTAATTATGCCATCCCTCAAAGTTGTGACAGAACGAGATGCTCTGCTCTGTATCCACCTATATTTGAGACGGCCACTGAAGAAAACCGAAGGGAAGAAAAGCATCGGTAACAAGTCATAAAGTTGAATCGACAGTTGGCTTCTGCAGATGCGGATTTGGGGAAGTCGAGACTCGTACAATTTTTAGAAGATAGGGCCTCGACGACGAGTACCAGGTAGCTCATGGCGCTAACCATCAGCATTCTGATGAACTCTTCTTCCTTCGTCAGTTCCCTTGGTTCACAACTTCTATAATTTTTAGGTGGAAACCTCTAATGAAGGATATAACAAATTTAGAGGTAATAACTTAGAAGAAAGATCTTCCATCAGATATCAGGCGTTCACATTTTTTTTTTAAAAACTAAAACCATTATAATCGCGCAAGCTCTAATTCATTAGGCCCAGGTCCTACTATGTTTTTTTCACTGGTATGGTACCCGTTTGCTAGGATCTATTTTGCTCAAAAGCTTGCTGGTTCTGTACACTTTCACGCGCTCTCTTCGCTGGAATATCGAGCACAGCCTACCCTCTAGTGGTGTTCATCTTCTCCTACTTCGCTTCTGCTTCTTTATCTGGTCCTCATGGAGATGCGAGTTCCTTGAATAACTGGATCGCGGGACATGCAGCATACAGCGACAATACGAAAAAGTCCACTGCTGGAGTCTAGCAATAGAAACAATTCATTTGACAAAATTCTCCCAAAGCAGAGGAGATTACAAAGTGATCCTTTCAATGAAAAAAAAAGTCTAGGTAGACGAGAATTTCAAGCAGGATCCAATAACACATGGAAGCTCATCCTATCTTACACAAATTTTTCCAAGGGTATTTTAGCCAGAGGCCTACTGTACCTATCAGAATACGGCACAATAAAGCAAATATATCAGTGGGCTCACGACACATGGGGATAACTTCAGATATGCTCCTTGCAAATTTGGTGCATGAACTTTAGACTTGATGACCCACACACATTTATATAATAGATACTTGTATCTTGTTAAGTTGCAACCTTTCCACTTGATGATGGAAGGATCTCCCGTTCTTTGCTTTTTGTATGGTCCCTGTCCAACAGAAGAGTTCATCGTATGAAAGAGAAAAAGGACACCCTACTGCATTGAAGAAAAAAGAATTTGCATGTCAGTCCACTTCCTATACAAGTTTCAAAATGTGAAGTATGGAAAGTAAATTTTCTTAATCCAACTAAAAGAGGCGGAAATATCTTACCAAACCAAAACTAGAATATCAAGGTATACTGTTTTCTTGGCCTATTACAACCTAATGCTACGCTACCACCTCCTTTTAGTTTATTTCCGAATTACTAGATATTTATCTCAATTACTATCCAACCAAACCTAATCTTTCGAAACAACTACCATCTAGTATGCTTCAATTCGAATGAAAACCTATACTCTTTGGAGTGCAGTTCCGTTTGGCTCTAGTGCGACTCTTTATAGGCTTATAGCCAACCTTTTGGTCTGAGCTACTCTTCTAAATGGTCTTCCCAGTTTTGGAGAACTTGGAGGGTTACTTCTTCGCTGCATTATGATTCTGAATGAAAGATGAGAAACAAAAAGGTAGGAAAAGGCAAGTCTACCTCCCACAACTGACTCTTGAAAGCTTTATACTTAGGCCCCTCCACCGGTTCATAGTTGACTGTTGCCAAGAGCTGTGCACTAATTTGGAAGAAGCTGGCCGCGCTAGTTTAGTCAACTCCTTTATAGGGTTTTCTCGACTGAGGAGTGTTTCGAGGCTTAACCCATTTTCCCAAGAAAGGGCTAGGTGACAAATGTTGGTGGTGATGACCTACTTACTTTATTTGCAGATCAACCCAGATAAATGAACTTGATCTCCCATGGACGAGAGATGATAGACCGCAATGAAATAATCTGAAGTAGAGTCTTATACAGGAAAAGCTAATCACCTGAAAGGCTTGAGTGTGCCCAACCCATGTCATCATAGGTCAATTTCTTTTTCTTTCTTTTTTCAACTTTTTTTTTCCTTTGAGGGAAGGTCAAGGCTAACAAATATTCTGGTTGGGGTTACGGTTCACGAAGGGAGTATATAAAAGATGCGAGGAGAAGAACCAGACACTTAACCAAAGAGGTCATACTTCCAGCATTTTCCTCAACACTGTGATGAACGCCCGTATTCGTTACATAGATGCTCCTCATTGTCAATTATCATCACCACATTTTCAGCGGACTGGGTGACACATAGATTCCTGATTTTGTACTTAACTACTACATTGCCAAAGGCCATGACTACCGTGCGCCATCACATGTGCATAAATGGAACTAAATAACTCTACCATTTTTCATCCTTCACTGTTTCCCTCACAAGAAAAGAACAATTTATCCTCAGTACAGCTATCAACCGGTGCAGTTCAACATGAAAAGAATAGACAATCATGCATGAATATGATTTCCAAAAACTTACAAGACAACAAAATAGATATGCCTAATTGAAAATTTTTTACAGGAGCAAATTTCAAGCTAACTACAATACCAGCAGAAAAAGAATTGTGGGAAATGAACTATGATATAAAATAGAAATATGGTAAAGAAGTTATTCATTACCAGCGTGGAAGGACCAAGATAAACTATTCTTTTGCAGGTTGGCTATCACTCAGTTCTGCACTTAGCATATGATGAAGAAGAATGTCAACTGTGCGGCTCCTTGTTTTTACACTGAATCAAGAACAAATGGAAGAGTCATGCCTTCTGAAGAAAAATCCTTAAATAACTTCCATGATGCTAAACATTACCCAACATGCCGGCGCCGGTCCTTCCTTCTAGATGAATCCTGGAGCAAGAAAGTATGATATCATCAATATTGTGCAGGCATAATGTTAAAGATGTAGTGGATCTGAAATCCCTTTATTGACGAGGTATGAGCAATAGCCAGCACGAACACCTCAGATGTATTTCCATTAAATGTGTCTTGCAAGTAAACATCTTATCATTGAATTCGTAAGTACCCAAATGTAGAAATGCAGGATCTTTGATTCAAAATTCCAAATATGAATATGAATCACTATCTACTTAGACATCATTTAGCACTCTGATCTGCAATTCACAGACTGCTCGAGAAATACTTGAGAGCTTGATTCAGGTACTCACACTGATACTGGTTACTTGACTTGATATAATAGTGCTATATCAAGCACAAACATTTGGCTTTTGTAAAACACATTGTTGCTATATGTTAGCAGGTAAGTAAGAGATATATTTCATACAAATATAAATTTTGTATGTACATTTAGAAGCTATTATTCATTTCTGATGTTTGCAGATAACTAAGATTTATTTGAATGTACATTTATAAGTTCCCATATATCCATCTACAAAACTATCTCATAGTTTCAACGATTGGACATAGAATACACTAGCACTGATTTTATTATTAAAAGTCATTTCTCTTTTGATTCTTCTTGGAAACTTCACCTTTTGTTTTGAGTAAAGAAAAACTTCACCTTACATCATCAATACGGAGATGATGAAAGATCATTTCAAGCAATAAAATGAGAACCTGCAAATTTGAGTTCCTGAGCATATAAGCTATCCCGACAGTGACAGAATTAAGAGAGAATGCCAAAAAGATGGCTACATATTTGATGACTCAAGTTACCACAAACATATCATTTCGCACAGTTAAATGGGAACTAATAGTGGCAGTTCCGGAACAGTTTCCCTACTGTAAAGTGAAGTAACTATCTACAGACACAAATAACTATACAAGATACTGATTAAAATTTTAGAACTTGGCTGGAGAACAAGTAAACTTAGTCCAATGTGCAAAACACGACAAAAGCAAGTGTAAAACTGTAAATGAAACAGTTAACAATCTTATGAAAGTGCATATTTAAATAAATAACAACCTCAAGTGTAAAACTGTAAATGAAACAGTTAACAATCTTATGAAAGTGCATATTTAAATAAATAACAACCTTGTCTTCCTCACGTCCATTGGGTGTCTCCAGTTCCATTTCAGCAAAGAAAGCCTCCAAAATAAAAGCTACAACCTGAAATTAAAGAAGCTGAATATATTAGTTGCAAAGTTTGATGCTAATTTGTAAAATGGTCATACTTTGGACAGAAGGGCATCATCAACAGATGAATACTCTTTTTTTCCATCAAAATGGGGCAGCCGTGAACCATCATTGAATAAGAAAACTCCACAAAATGAAGATATGCAGATAAATATCAATCTTAGGAACTTATTCCCTGAAAAGAAGTGGACTTGTGCTATGGGTCAATTTTAATCCTTGCAAGGGTAGAGTTTGGACAAACCATGGATGGCAGACGCAACAAAAAGAAATCTTATTTCAAAAATTAAAAAAAAAACAAAGAACTTTGTATTTGAGTATCAGTGTAATAAAACAAACGATAGTTACCATTTACTGTGTGAGCAGTTGCGAACTTTTCAGAAAATAGATCCATAGTTTCGCTTTTACTTAATAAGATAAGATTGATTTGGTTAAAGGCTTGATTCTCTATTTATAAATATTTACATATTTAAAATGTTAACAATGTCTTTCATGTGTGTAAATGAATTTATTTCATAAGGAAACACCAAGTTGAATAAAGAAATTAATATCGACCCTTTTTTTGAGATAAGGGGCGGGATTCAAAGTCAAAAGACCTCAGCTGATTAGACAGCAGCCAAAATAGTTGTCTACAAAAAAATAAAAATAAAAAAACAAATAAACACAGCCTACATCCCAACCCAAAAAACTCGACCCATAATAGTAAATGGCCAAAATATCTCTTATTCAAATGTTCATACAATTGTTTTGAATTCTAAGTTTATATTCAAAAGTTTCTCTTGAGTTCGGTTAAATAAATCCATGTGCCTCACATCTAAGTCATGAGTTTCAATAATTCAGCAAGTTGCTCAACATCATGAGGTATTAGAAAAAATATATAATATTATGTAAACATGATTATTAACATATGTTCAACTTATATGAAGTATGGTCTTAAGAATATTCTTTTAATTGGAATAAACATGATTATTAACATATGTTCAACTTATATGAAGTATGGTCTTAAGAATATTCTTTTAATTGGAATCTTATTTATAACTTTAGAATTATTTATTTTCACATGTTCTTAGTAAAATTTGTTTTGAATAATATATATATATTTATAACTTTAGAATTATTTATTTTCACATGTTCTTAGTAAAATTTGTTTTGAATAATATATATATGTATATTAGAAAATATCGAGTAATATAAAGTATACACCTCTTTAAGGTATTTTTTTATTTGAAATTTCCTACAATTTATATATTTAAATTTAACAATAAGTTGTTCATGAATTCTAATTCACACTTAAATTTCCAAGACCTTTCCCTGAAACCTTAGTGTGCCTTATTTCTAGAATAATGATAATCATGTCAATTAGAAAATAAATGTTTTTCTTAGATCCCTTTCCAAGTAGTTTAGCTAACAAACCAATAGCTTATTGTTTATTTTGATCTCAATGGTTTCCCTAAAGAAACATATCGTTGTTTATGTGTAATTTCCCTTTTTGGGTAATAAACTTAATATTTTTTTCGCCCACAATAGAGTATTTAAGTTTTATAAATCCTCTTACTTATCTTTTTATTCTGTAGAATCATAGTTAACTGAAACTATTAGTAAACAATTCTTGCAGCAGTCCAAAAATAGAGAACCCTTGGGTATAGTGGTTAAGGGGCTTGGTTATTGGCATGAAGGTCCGGTTCGATGGTTATTGGCATGAAGGTCCGGAGTTCGAACCGCAGGACCCTTTTTTTCAAACAAGTCTGATTTGGGTCGGTTTTCGAACTCAAACCCGACCGGTTGGGGTCCATTATCAAATACCAGACCCGTTTTGGGTCTATAACTCAAATTTCAGACTCGTTTTAAGTCTCTTGCTCACCAAAACTAGGTTTGTGGATATATAGGTTATCGAACCAAACCCTTTTGGCCCATTTTTGACACTAAACAATTATGTTATGTATTCATCATTTTCCCCCCTTTTTGTTAAGATAAGAGAAGATATGTCATTTGATGATGTGTTTGATACCCGATACCATGTTTGATCACCTAGCGACATTTAATAGGGTCGATTGTGCACGAAGACGACTTCCGTCAAAATATGATTTATAAGCGTGCTATCATAGCATGACTATACCCTCGACATCGATATTCCGGTGTGAGAAGTTTCTCTTGATTATTATTATTATATAATAGCATCAACTAGACGATGCATCCATCTTGATTGGACATGTTCTCGTCATGGTTATTTTTCATAGTTTTACAGAAGTCGTTCCACAGTAACTCTGTGATTAGTGAACAATATTTCATGCACAACCACTTAAAATAAATAGATAAATATGGGGTTTAATAAAGGGGAATTAGATGGCGAATATAAAGTGAATATAAGTGGGCTTATACGCATTCTTGATATCCTGAGTTATATATAAGGGTCAAGGGCCAATACTTGACTTGAAGTCGTGTTTACGGAAAGGTTTACGAGAACCCGATATATATACATGAAATATTCCCCTTGAATTCAAATAACCTCTAAGATGATAATAATTTGCTTGTGTGCCTTGTGAAAGACTTCATCTTGATGTTCTACAATTAGCATTTTCTTTTGTCACTTTTAATTGAGATTTCATCTTTTCATTATACCTGCCACATACACTTACGCATGCATAATTCCTTCATTTCACATGCTTGTTGAGAGTTTTCTGACTCCTCTGGGATTTGCGTACCCCAGACTTGGGAACTATTCTTTCTTCGCAGGATCGAGAGTATTTTAAGGATCAGGCCCAACGGCAGTGATCACCTTCTATCCTATTCGTTCTTAGTTTCAGTTGGTGCAGGTAGTTATTTGATTCAGACTTTTCTTTGAGCCACATGTGGCTTTTCAAAACTATGATGTTTTTTCTTACTCTTTTCATTCTGAATAGATGTGGACATGTACTTGAACTCTGTCTTTCCAGAGATTTTTTTCTATATATTTCTTTGTTATCTTAGTTATATGCTTTGTAGTGTAGTTTACTGGTACATCTGCATACAGGATGACCTATAGGCGTGAATGTGACCAAGTGGTTGCATTATCGGCCAAGTCACGTACCAAATGCATATATTTTGGAGTTGGGGCGCGACAATATATGTGCTAATTTGATTGTCAGAGCAAAAAGGTGATCTTTCAAGGAAACGCATAGCGAATATGTTTGAAATAAATTTGTATGTGTGTGTGTATGCATGTTGCATTCTTACTTAAGCAGCAACGAAATCACAACAGATAAAAGGTTAGTCATATATATATAGAGAGAGAGGAAAAAAAATGGGTATGCTTGGTACCAAGCACAAGTTTTTGTGCTTGGTACCAAGCATAAGTTTTTGTGCTTGGTACCAAGCACAAATTTTTGTGCTTAGTAGTGAGGTGGCATATTCCCCTCCACTCATTAAAATCGGGATCCACATTCACATGGGTTGGGGAGTGGTTGGGAATTGGAATGAGTGGATGGGAATATGATATATATATATATATAAAAGGTGAAAACTCCTATCAACTTAAGTGGATAGCAAATAGTGTGTCCACCAAACTTTTTAACCACTCATATTGCCTAGGAATCCATGTATTATATAAAAATATGTTTTATATTAATATATATGTGGCTAGAAACTTTGGCAGACATCAACTTAAGTTGATAGGAGTCTTGCTCTATATATAATGCATAAAATATTTATACATGTGTGCGTAACACGCGCGCACTCATGTATATGTAACCTCTTAGGAAGCTCATTATAGATATATTTTTGCCTTAGATAAAGAGCATTATTTAAGAAAAAACTTTTAAGCAGAATAAGACTGTTAACGTGAACGCACCAGATTAAGGAGCAGTAGAATTGTTATGAGGTAAAAACTAATGAAATATGCAAGGCTCCAGGAGCTTCCAGTCAAGACCTTGTAGCTCTGTATAAAATGTAGGACATTAGCAACTGCTGATACATCCATAACACGAAATTCACTTTAATGAACTAAAACAAATGGCAAGTTACATCTATTTAATATAACACTATCCCAAAATATAAGCATTACTAAACATTTTCTCTGAGCCAATTCATACAGATATTTGCTAATTCCTCTAACAACCGAAGGATGGTGAGAGCCTTGCCGGCAAGAAGGAACCTGCATGCTATAGTAAGCAGTTTTCCAGTACAGATCTTATTAAACCTAATCTCGCAGTTAAGAGAAACAATTCCAAATTGATGCTGTTAATGCTTGGCACTGTTGTACATTTAATTTCCCTTAAAGCTTTTATTTACATCAGGCAAGCTTTTCAAAGAGAATTAGTTGCCTCTCCATGCTTTTGTTCCTATCAAGTAAGCTTTATGAAGAGGTTAACTATATGTTTCTTACATTAGACCATAAATCTTATGGTGCTTCAAACCTTTCAGGTTTTAGATTAGTGTGTATTGCAATATTTTATACAAAATTTATCCCTAGGACCTATGTAGTAGGCTTCTGGTGATGATTGGTGATATGGTCAATATTTTATACAAAATTTATCCCTAGGACCTATGTAGTAGGCTTCTGGTGATGATTGGTGATATGGTCCCAACAAACCAGAATGAATTTCTTAGATTAACTTCAAACTGCACTCTCTTTTCGCATGGACTAATCAGGGATTAAATATAGAGGTCTGGCGAGAAGGTTTGTTAAGATTGATCTCAAAAAAGATTTTCAAAGAAAAATAGGAAACTTTCCATATCATGAGTATGATGCGTGTTCCTCAATATCTAGATTGGCTAAATAATTATTCACATAAATGGCTCAGCTTCTAGTTCCTTCTACATCAGTTTTTGAATATAATGCAACTGCTCAAATTTCCACTGGAAAAAAGTCCAAAACTTGCATTTCATGTACACAAAAGATTACCACTGCTAATCATGGGGACTCTATCATATCTATTATTCAATATAGATTAAGAGATTTAGTTTTAAACCTGAAAAAATCACATTAATCACTAATACCACCAGTCATAATGTAGGACAAATCTATTCCTCTTTACAGAGAAGCAAATACAGGTTCAATAATTTAAGTATCTGTTGCATACTTTTGCAGGCTTATATGAAACAAGGACTGATTCAAACCAGTCTGACAGGTCAGTTTGAGCAGAGTAGACCAAACAGAACTCAGCCAATCCCAACAGAAAAGGAAAGAAATTTAGCAAGGGCCCTAAGCTCAGTTGATGATTAAGCCTAAGAGAGCCAAAACTAAATTTGTACTAGAAAATCTGACGTTATTATGCAATGGGAGACCTCCAGTGAATAATCTGCTACTTGCAAGTAAGTGTGGATTGGTGTGCTTGTATCATTGTAAACAGGCAAGGGGCTGTTAAATATACTTGTCTACTGTAGATGAATGTATTACATTGCTGTGCGTGGATAATATCTTTTCAATTTACTATGCACATTCTCAAAATATACATTACTGTCTATTTCTCATTTATTGTTGCTGCATTAAAACTAAATCAACATTTGTTAGTTCTGTTGTAAAGAGGGGAATAACATGGGATAGAGCAATCCAGGATCAAAAAGAATACAGCCCCACCAACAGCAAATTAATACTAAATTACAAACTAGGCGAGATAAAACCATAATATTACAAAAATATGTACAAATACTGATACAGAAAACATAATTACAAAAACGAAATATTTGAATGAGAAAACATAGGTGGCAAAACTTAGGTACCTGCATCCACACTTGCCAATTTCCCAACACCAACAAATTGAATAGTGTCACCATTCCACTTGGGTAGTCATTAAAGTTGAAAAGTAAGTAGCTAGTTCTGTTAAGTATGCCAAATTGGCGAAAAGCCTCTCCATAATATACTGAAATATCATGCTATCATCTGATATAAATTAAAAGTCAACAAAAAGATAAAGGATACTCATCATCAAAAAGATCAGTTGCCACCAATCTAGGATTACCAGAGTTTACAATCCCACCAAATAACTACAGATTAAATGCACTTTTTTAAAAGGTTTATCATCAATAAAGAAGAATAGAGGACAACTATTGCAACAGATTCACTATTCAAACTGTTTTCCGTTAAAGCAAATGAGAAGCATTATGTTTTTACAATTCTTGGTGTATAATTATGGTTTCAAGAGAAATTCATGAAAAATGAGTTTCCAGTCCATGCATATACACATGCAATAGAAAGTACTAATCACACCATATTTAATATGCTTATGTAAAATTACATATGTCATCCTTGTGTAGCATAGTGAGCATCTAGTCTGTTGAATGTATAAGAGAACAAAGAGAACAATAGGCTATAAGGTTAACAACTTCAAACACAATTGATCAGCAACTGCTACAATAAAGGATCATAAGGGAGTAGATGACGTCTACACCAAAATAACAAAATAAAACGAGCACATCATAACTTTCTATTGGTTACTCGTTGAAGTTGAACAGATTAAAGTGCGGTAAGAACTGCTGAAGTTTCCACCCACCCACCCACGCACAATAATGTACATAGCTGAGTGATGCTAGGTTACTATTGCATCAATTCAGATGGTACATTATCAGCGACACTAGTGTTACACCTGTTGGAGCTTGTAAGTGCCAAATTCATCCAAGTTTTCTCCAGAATCATCTTTTGTAAATTGATTCTTAAAGGAATTTCTTTTGACTGTGATTCAACAGCTCTTCTTTGCCCAACTATCTCTAATTGAGAGTATTGCGGTGGGATCAATATATGAAGGATTAAGATATTGCTGCAAAGAAGGGTCTTGGTGTAACGGCTACTTCTCCAATAGAAGGAGACTTCTCACTCTCATACCAATTCTTGCACATAACTCTTAATTGTACTGTCATGCAACATAATCTTACTTCCCACTCTAGTTCTTTTCTAAGTTTTAGCTAGTTCTCACATATTAACTCTGTGATATAACCTCTCCAGTCAAATATAGATAGTGGTGACTAATAATGTATATCAAGCAATTTTAACGCCTCCTTACATGGTCACATAAAAATACCTACAATAGGTCAGCACGTTAAGGCACAATAAATACATATATAGGATTGAATATTTCATGAGTGTCCAACCAAGGACTTCGTAAAATCTTGAAATTTTGCGCTGATATCATGTCAAAGTTAGAGTCAGAGTCAGAAAATCACATAAACCAAAGGCTATGCATATGGTTAGTGGAATAGCAATATATATCAATCAAATTTAAATATTTAACAAACTCCATATAACTCATAATTTGCAGTCAGGTTGATACTCAGATACTCCATCATGGGTTGCAACCTCCGGTTATGCATATTAGGAAAAAGATAGGAAGTACTGCAAGTTGAACTACATACCTGTAAACCAAGAGAGCAATAGATGCAAAGCACGCAGAATATGATACCCAAGTAAGGCATCAAACTTGGAATTAAGGTTAAGAAAGTTGCCACAAATGCTCTATAGCGTTGAACATGTAGCAGCAGTCTTATTAAACGTAACATTCTTGCAATCAGAAGGTAACGAATCCTGTTTCCAGTCAGAAGATAAATGGTAACATTTATTGTGACCTATTAAAACCAAGCTAAATATTTACATACAGATTTTCCTTTTAATGTACAACAATTAGAAAGTTTACCATTGACCAGTAGTCTCATTTCTATAATATTTCATTATTCTTCAATATAAACCGAGGAGTGAAGCTACAACAATGTGATAAGCTCATAATACACACTACAATTTTAATAACAGAAGATAAATGAAGTCTGCAAACTGCATGTTGATATGCTATACTGCTGGTACAGCATAAATGCATAATACAAGGCCATGTATTTCTCCTATTGTTTTGGACGAGTTTATAATGTATTATATAATATACCATAATACCAGCAACTACATCTGTCTACCATATTCAGTTCATAGTCAATACACTATGCATGGTTGCATACATTCACTATGGTTGTAGAGCTACAACGTCTATCATGGAGACTTTAGTAAAGCCCCCCTGCCCCGATATTAGTCCATGGAAAAAGGAAGACCCAAAGAGTGCTGCTTCAAAAACTGCGAGATAAATAGACACATGCCAATAAGAGAAAGTATACATAGAGCTCTAGTGAATATCAATAAAGAGATAACTACGTACATATATGGGAGATCAAATTATAGCATACAAAAGGCAACAATAAGGCAGAGAAAGTAATAAGAAGGGTGTGACAAGTAAGGTCTTCCCTCTGCAATAAAATGGTGTAAGACATGGCCAGCCAGAGAATGCTTGCCCATCGATATTCAATTTTGCGGGTGCTTAAACCTCTATTCAACTATGTCCAAAGTGAAGTACATTATCCCAACCCCACCCCCTTCTTCTATGGAAAAATTTAATTATTTACAGATAAATTTATGGTTAGGTTGTGTCCGAAATTCTGTTATGGAAAGATTACCATGTTCAATATTCCGGTGTCCCTATGCTACTCTTGTTTGTCACTAACAATTGACAATATGAAGTCAAAACATATCCAATATTGATGCCAGAAATAATAGTTAAAATAGGTGGACGAAAGTCTATTACCTTAATTATGTAAGACAAAAAACTAAGCTAGACTTTAGTATTTGTGGTGGAACTAAGGAAGTCAGCTTTAATAAGGCAGCAGATAGCATGATATGTTTACCAATGGCAATAATCAGGAGCAATAAGTGCTACAAGCCTACAACTAGATTTCTTCAAATAATATCCCAGAAAAAGCCAAGTTTTGAGTCGATTATAAAAACAAGCACTAAAGTAGAAGCCCTAAGAGACAATATGCATAATTCATTTGAAGGAATAAGATCACCCTTAAGTCAGAGATACAATTATTGATGTCCCTGTTTTAGTTTTTGGGGTACTTAATGTTTAGAGAGATTTTTTTTGGGTATTATGTTTAGAGAGATTACTTATAGAGTTTTTTGCATAGTCATATATGTATTATTCCATGGAAAAATTAAGTTTTAACTTTGAATTCCTCAGAAGTGAAGCCAGTGTCAGCTGTTCTATTTTCTTTCCACCAGGCATGCCAATTATTGATGTACAAAAAGTTTCCTGAATTCAGATATTTAACTGAAGATTACGTATTTAATATAAATGAATGAAGAATCAAGAACATGTGCAAATGTATCACAGAGCATAATTTTACCATTCTCCATTAGAAAGAAAAGGCAGCTCAGATGAGAAGAAAAAAGTTGTAGCCTCTCCAATAACTGCAAAGAAAAGATGTCAACCACAGACACAGTGCAATCCAATATACTGCATTTCATTACACTCATTCATGGAAACTGAGCATGAGATTCAAGGGAAAAACAAAAATTCACTTGAATTTCAGGAAACTAAGAAGTAAAATAGATGTACATTCATTCTTTAAGAGATGCCGGGTACTTTAACTTCTAAATCATCTACAAATAAATATTGAAATGCAAATAATGGTTCATTAAGAATAAAATTAAGCTACATACACATATCTCGAGATGTGAACTCCTAACTGCATAGTAGGATGTGTGGATTAGAGATAAATAACTATGAATTACATAGGTCGAATATAGTCCATATATAATTTGGGCTATAGGTGGTTAGGTCGAGATGGGGTCTTCCATGATTCATACCCTATGCCACCATAATTAATGTCCAGAAATTCAATCCCATGATTTACTTGTTTTCCTCTCAAGTCGGTTTTATCTCGGGTTTAAGTTTAATGAAAGCAATACCATATACAAAGCAAAGGCTATTCACAGGCCATCATATAGCGGTCTTTGTTTGGGATACAGCTTTGGTAATAAATCTTGTGTAGATCGAGATCATTTGATATTAGACAACTGTGCTTTTCTTTCCATGCATTACCGATTTTGACATCAAAAATATATTTCTAAAACGATTTCATGGTTTGTCTTGTTTGAAGCAAATCACTACATGATAAAAGAACATTGGAAACTTGAAAATATATTCCAAGCCTATAATATCCTTTCTTATCTCCCTGTTTTGAATTTTTGACCTTGATAGAGAGACAAGAAAGAAATTTCATTCTCTCGACTCTTGAGAAGGATGTTATATCCAATGATTTTGGTTTAGGTAAGGAACGAAAACAAGTGGAAAGGGGAGAAAGAAAAGCGGAAATGAGATATTCTGTGCATGTGAATGAATGGGTTAGATTAGAGCTTCATGGTTTAGATAACAAAAGGATCGTGGACATTATTTGAACATCTTTTCAACTATCTCATCTTAGAACATCTTTTCAACTATCTCTTTCCAACTATCAAGGTTTAGATAACAAAAGGATCTTGGACATTATTTGAACATCATTTCAACTATCTCATCTTTGTGGCATTGTTGTTATCTTTTTTATTTTTTGTTTAGCCATTCCAAACAAAAAAATATATCATCTAGCAATTAACTGAAATCCCAAAATTGATAATTAAAAAAAAATTGAAGAACACACAAATTTTTCATAATCAGATCACCATAATCTCAATAAAAATACCTAAGTCAAAGGTATTCCCTCAATCAAAGCCTCTGCATTAAAAATACCTAAGTCAAAGGTATTCCCTCAATCAAAGCCTCTGCATTGTGAATGACTATCGTGTCATATATTGTTTTCTTTTCTACATCCTTTTATGTGGTTAACTTAAACCTGAAAGTAGAACGACATTCGCCTAATCCTACAAGTACCTGAATTGTGGGAATTGGACTTGGCCATGTAAATCAAATTCCTGACCTCACAGACCTGCCACTGCTGTGATGTCTCAGATATACATGAACAGATAGACGAACAGTTAACTATGGGCCAAAGTTTCAGACCAAAATTATTGTGGGATTGAGTATGAAGTATGGTAAACTTGAACACAACGCCACCCACCTGCACTTCTAAGTTAAAAAAAAATAGGTAACGAATAGGTACTCAATTGATCAGGCCCATCTATGAGTAAAAAAGCACAGAAATCCACATGAAAAACAGGTCTCTTAACAAGTTAGATTAATTTCCCATGTAGCATACCCAATCCAAAAAATAAAACAGGTCTGGCTTTGGTCCCATACCCAACCCCATTAACACTTCAGTTTATATTGAAAGCGGATAAAACTCAGTTTGCACCCGGGTATATATGTCCTCCTTGCAGCTTTACATATGCTCACTTTAAAACTTAGATAAGTAAATAGTAGCTAGTGTAGCGTCTCTGATACTAGTCATACTATACGTCTGTCTAGCACAATCACTAGGAATAACTGACATACAGTTACAATAAATTGACCTGCTAGTATATTGGCTATCACATTTTTATACATCTATTAAGCCAAATGGAAATGATATAGTTAAACACCCTTCCTACAAGACTGGGTGCCAACTGCTTCTGATTGAGATAAATTTTGAAGGAACCAGAGCTTAAACAAGCAGTACTTTTGACTATCCATGACAAATATTTTGATTATTAGAACAGTGTTCTTTTCAGGCTAGTAATAACAACGACAAATTGGAAACAACGTTCAATTTACAGAATATTTGACCCTTGGCCCTTTATTGTACGCCAATATAGAGAAATTACTGTCTCAAGTTATGGGAACTAAAAGCAATAAGTAATACTAAACACGGATTCTCACCTATTATCCATGTTACTACAAAATCAAAACGGTTTTGACCTTCGATCCAGTAAGCATCAAATCCAAATGAAAAGATCTTCAGAGCCATCTCCAAAACATAAATCCAGCCTACAGAGAAACAAGCGCTTTGTTAACATCTACAATATGACATTCAAAAAAAAAGGAAAAATAAGCAACTAAAATGCAAATATCCAGTTCCATAATTTTGGAGTAGCACTGTTGATTGCATAACTTTTACATATTTATACAAGAGACTCGATGTAGAAACATGACAGCACACGATGATGGAAAATGAATAACCTCTGACTACATATCTATAAAAAACCCAAATATCATTATGTAAGTCGAATTGTACCTAGTTGGGCATCATGAAGATTATGCTGCTAGAGTACTGACCAAGTAGTGTGATGTGTTCCGCTAAATGGGACCAGGCAGATGGATTATTTCCAGTAAAAGATACTTCTTTGCTGACACAATCAGAGAACTATATGAAGAACAGAGGCTGATAGGTAGGTTTGCCAAATTGAGGGCAAGAAGAATAACCTTCTTTCTTGTGCAGAAGAAGTGAGGCTATCTAATGTGTAACATTCTTGGCTATTGACTGCAAGAAATTTCGCAGTATGGGAAAGTAACTGAAGTGGTAGAAGGGTTCTATGGATGCAATAACTGGTAATAACAGCGGGACTAAAGAGGTGATTAGAAAATTATAAAAATAGCTGATATGACTGGAGAAAGTTGTATCTATCTGGGCTTGCTGGAAGAGGACTCGACATCTATAAGTTATCTCTAATGGGTGTACTCAGGAATTCCTACAGATTCAGTAACTTGCAAGTTACAAATTCTTGTCAGTGTTACTTTCAGTTTTACAATAAGTTGCATGGAAACCAGTATGGGAGAAGGAAAATTTGTAAAAGGGCAGGGTACTCGAACACGGATATATAAATAGTTATATACGCATACATTTATTATATATTGACATTAATAATTTATATTGGATCAACATTGTTTTTCATTCATGTGTTATGAGTTCTAAAATTCCTATAATATTTTTATGTTTCTTTTATTCTGTGGATTATAAATTGGAACAGTTCTTTTTTGAACTAGACACCAAAACAACCCTGTAAAATCATAGTTAGAAACCCGACCTATGGCTAACGAGTTTTTGGAGGTGGATGTGAAGTGTAGGATAATGTTGAAGAAGAGTATGACAATTATTAAAGTAAAACATGTATTGTGTAATTGACTACATGCCTTAATAAATGCATGCATATATGCAAGGAGAGTTTCGATACGGGTACGTGTACGTGGCAGGTACACGTACAGCTTCAGATAGAAGTACCCATGTAACATAGGCTTTACATTACCAAAGAAAATGAGAATGTGCACTATACAACAGTTTGAACTGATCCTAGGTCAAGCTGCTAAGATAGGAATGAAGTATTCAATTCCAAGATGACAAAGAATCAATTAGTTCTCAATTACCTGGCATAAAGAATTATGAAACTACGGATGAGGGGTAAGAGGAGATAATTATGTAAGAGGAAGCTAAGATAACGTTTACATGTAAAGGGTTGCCTTTTGCAACTTCCATATGGCGTACCTGACATGAGAACAATAGGAGACTCTTTCAGCGCAAGGAGTACAGGAAGTTTCTAGAAGACTCCTTAAAACCTGATTTATCTTCAGATATCACTATTAAATAGCGAAATCTGACACCAGTGTGTATTACCAGCATAGCAAGAAAATAATAAACTATGAAGAGATTGTCGACATGTACTTTGTCACATTCTGTTAAACTATAGCTTTGCATAACGGTGCAATTATGAACCTCCATCATCGTCATTCTAAACCTTTTTCCATTCTAAAAATGGGGTAATATGGAGAGAAACCTTATATCATAAATGAAATGTTCAAATTGAATGCCTGAGGTAAGGCTCCAGATTAAGGTATCAGAATTGAATTAGTATTTGACATTATGATTGCTTAAAGTTATTTGTGGATGCTGGAGCATTAGTATTCTGGAAATATAATCAGTTGGGTTCAACTAAATCTCATTATAACTGATTGTTATTCTCTCTATTATATCTTGATTCATAAGCATGTTTCCCATTGTTACTGAGTGCTCCATACTTCTTATCTAGCAGTCCAACCTTCAAAAGATAATTCTCTTAACCTTCCCAGAAGAAGCTACCAAAAATTTATGTAAACACAAGAATTTACATGATACAAACACAATATTTGAACGTATGAAAATTTTATTGTGATTCGATGAAACAAAGGTAAGTGAGAGAGACCATCCTCTCATTATAAAAAGAAGTACCCGCAGATCATAGAAGATTTGTCCATATAAATAATAAACTGAAATCAACAAAAATCATAATAATTAAACATGAAAAACTGTTATTATCGTGAAACGAAAAATACAGTATCAGTTGAAGTACATAAAAGATTTACCGAAGCAAAACTCAACTGCCTGCCAAACTCCCTGCCCAGAGCTGTTCTCTATATCTAGCTGATATAAATAACAGTTGAAAGATATAAAAGATATGTCATCTATAATAAAGATCTATATATGCAAGTACATGAAGATAAAGGAATGGGCTTATTCCATGGAAGATGAAGAGGTAAGGTTATTGCCTATATAGAGCAATAAACATAGATTAAAAGCTGAATTTCCAAATAGGATTTAAAATACTTAACAATTGATGTTCCTTATCCATGGAAAACAGCAAGATTATCCCCAAATGGCCAAAGAAAAAAATCAATAGATACGAGACTGAAAATGATTGGAGCAGAACTCTTTGTGTCATTCTTTAAAGCTTTAGTTGTAAACATAAATTGTCACAGAATTTCATAGAAAACTCGACAGAAAACTAGCCACATAAGCACATAGGGAAAAGGTAGGTCATTTATAGTCATAAGTGTCGAGTTAGCCTGTATGGTTAGTCATACATAATTATGAAGCGCAGTTTAACTTTAAAACAAAGACTAGTTGTACTTCAAAAGTTAACAAGCGCCATTTAATATAAGTTTTGAACAAGTAAAATACTATAAGCATGCTCCACATGTTACACCCCAATCAGCCATGTAAATGTCGATGATGCACCCAAATCACTTAAAACCTGGCAACAAGAAATATGCTTGAACAAATCTGAACCCTGGAATTTAGAGTTGACAAGTCTAATGGGTTTAAAGTTTTCCCATGCACAAGTACTTTGAGGAATAGATTGTCCACAGAACATATGAGTAGTAGCATGAAAACAGAACATATCCATCAGCATTAGAATTCTAATGCAAACCATTTACATTAAACCATGATCTAGACACGTAATTCTACAAAGGACTGTCCAACAGGATTAAATGATAAGTGATTTTCAGGATATCTAATGCAACAATAAATTCAGGTTGCACTACTGCTTTGGACGCCCACCAGGGCCTGATGCTGGAATCACAATGCAAATTAGAAAATAGGACACATATAAATATGAACTCAGGGATCACAGGAATCAGTTTCAATCTTACCGTCGTTTCAATTATTACTGCAACGAAATTGAGTACAAGAACAAAAGCTACAATATATCCAAATGTAAGGCTTCGAACAAAAGCTTTCAACTTTTCACACTGAGGAGAATGGTAAAATGCTGGGAACCTCTCAAAACAAGACGGCTGCAAATATTACATCATGTTAGTATCCAGAAAGAAACAAAACTTAAATCTTACAGGACTTGACTTACAGGGAAATGGTGAGAGGAAGGGGAAAGAGGCTTATTACTAGAGTTCAAAATATTGAAAAAAATAAGACTAACTTACAGAAGCTTCCTTTTGGAATCTTAGGGCAATAGCGTTGCAGAGATCTGTGAACTCTTCCAAATTAATCTGTCAAGAAACATCATCTCAAGTCTTCAATTCAAATGAGGTCACATATGGAGCATATAGCAAAATGAATGTTTTAACAAATTTTATAACCAGCTATCAACCTGCAGTCAACCCTCTAATTAAATGCCATCTTCCTGGCCAAACGATTGACACAAGAGGACATTTAGCAGGAAGGTTTAAAATAAATCTTCTCTCAGATTCCATGCAACCAAGAGGCAACCTCCTAGACTATTAACAATTCTAGAAGAAGGAAAACATATGAGATAAAATCTCTTAGGCAGAAATTGATAAATGTCCCATTTATAAGTCTGACATGACATGCAAATGATGAGTATAACATTCTGAATGTCTTTAATTATTTTTCCTAGACTGAAACCTCCATGCACATTTGAATATAGATGCTGCCAGAACGACTAACATAATTCATAAAGTTGATATGCTACTAATTCGCATTATCATATATAAGCCACTTTCCTTCAGTATCCTATGACCCACTAGTGTACGCCTAGTTGATGCTACATCTGAGGGCAGATAGACACCGTTGGTAGACTAAGCTAGCCTTGGTCACTTGCACAACAGTGTGGTAGCAGTGCATGTCAAGGGGTAAAGCTCCCAGTCATGGAATACAAGAAAAATCTTGGCATCCCGAGACCGGAAAAGGATTTTCTTCCCACTAATGTGTCACCCTATCATCACAACATAGCAGACAACCCTCGCCCATTTGACATTACACCAGATTAGTAGAGACTCAACAAGTTTTTTATTGGTCATCAGCTTTCCAAATCAACTCTCATCCTTTATTCTCACTTGAGAGAGCAGTGAAATAATAAGAAAGTAAGCACCTTTCACTAGACATCTCATAGTGTTTTAAACAAAGAATTTATAAGGATGAGGATAACTAGGAAACTCATGTAAACAAGCAATAAAAACTAGAAAATATATACATTAAAACTTAAAAATTTAGACTGAGGTGACAGTCAAAAGAGAGGTTGAGTTGGCTGGGATGGGGAATGGTGGATGTGTTTGGTCTTTTTCTTGGGGTTGACGGCATGTGCGAATGCTTGAAAAAGAGGACGGAAAACCTTGAAATCGCCGCTATCATCAAGCTCATCAAAAATCAGTTCGAAATCTTCCCGCGAAGTTTTTGGCAATGACCTAGAAAAATTGAAGACAAATTAACAATGAATCGTTAAGATAATTGCCATATAGAATAATAAGAGATTGTGCTGAGTAGGTACAGTTTACAGAAAATCATTCACTAAGCATTTCAAGAAATAGTCTAAAGATTGGATTTGACTACAAACAGTACATAGTAGTGTGTATTGAAGCTCTATCATGGCTATCAATGTTCTTCTTCTGTAGTATTGTTGATGTGGATCTAATAGTTCAAGGGAGATATACTCTTTATTCTATATATTATTTTGTTTATATTAGTAATAAATGTAGATATTTTCTGGGACAAATAATTTGTTACTATAATTATTAAATTAGACAAAATGTTCAAAATTTTTTAAAAACTCATTCTCAGTTTCTTCATATGTTTGTCTAAACAGGGCTGGTGTGTCCCTCCATAGGGTTAGTTGGTGTGCCGATGATGTTGCACACATCCAACTTATCACCTATGATTCGGGTATATTGATGAATCTAGTTGTAGCAATTTGGATGTGTGTCACGTTAGTTAACTCTATGGGGGACATGATAGCCTCATTTCCTATATGTAACTCTATGGAGGGACACAATAGCCCTCGTTTCCCATATATACATACATACATATGTCATACAATCTTAAGATAAATATTAAAAATATGAATATAACTATTCAATACTGTTATATTTTCTTAAACATATCATGCTTTTGCATACATATATTTACATTACTTAAGAAATTATTTTAACATTATGGAATTTGAAAAATTGCAACTCATAAGAACTTTAAACTTTAAAACCAATCTATTGTTCCTCAGGTTATGCTCCATATATGATTATATCTAAATTTGATCTTTTGTTTGACGCATTTGATCCGGTATGAGGTAAAATCTCAATCTTCTACTTCTCTTTCTTTGTTGTTTTTGCCAGCCCCCTATTACTATTGGAATGCTTACAGATAACAGTTTGCACATATCTGCAAGTACAAACCTGTGCAAATCATTCATCTTGATATAGTAAGGAAGGTACAAGTCTTCCAGCATTAATACGCTTCATGTGCAGGAGTTGTGGCTTTTAGCGACAGAAACATAGCAGTTTGATGCACATGTAATTTGTAAAAGGTTTCTATAATTAAGTGGTATAGACATAGATTGCACATATCCCATAAGGCATGAAATAAGCAACTGACTGCCCCCAAAATGCCCCATGACAGGAGAGTATAGAAGAAGAGGCAAACATGATTTTTATAACTTGCATCCACAACTGAGATTATCTAACGAGTCAACAAAAGACATTATCAATAAAGCAATTAAGATCAAAATGAAATTTATTAGGGAAGAATACAAGATAACTTTCTGCTTTTGAAAAAATTAAATCTGGGAAAATTAAACAGATAAATTTTTATCACGTGCCATAAAATAAGAATCATTCTAATGCTCCAAATGACTTTACATTAACATATCCACCGAATCAACAAACTAATGCAGAAGAAAATTTTACGCCCTGAGACAAGCATATGTTTAAAATTGTTACCTATACTTGTTCAGTTCCTCGAACAAGCGAATACATTGTTCTTTGTTCAGAAAACCATGCTTCTGTGAACAAAATGCAAATCAAGAATAATGAGTTACGTGCAAAATGAGAAGTGAAACCACACAGCTAGAATGAGAATTTGTGAGGTATGACTATAACCAATCTCTAGCATATCTTCAAGACAATACAAATGATATCACAGGAAAGATGCTTAAAGCGTCTGCAGTTTCAAGTTTACGCAACTTTAGTCAACATCAGCTCAAGAGAGTAGACCCTAATCTGTACTCCCAAGAAAATGTTTCTAATCTTAAGAGATTAAAAGCTGAAAGAAATGAATGCCACTACCAAGGGAAAGAAACCTGGTAACGGCTATCAGCTTGGTGAGAATGGTCCTCCCAAACACCACTTGTGACCTGCTGCCCAACTTATAAAGTGATGCAGAAGGCGCAGATAGTATCAGGACTGGGAGAAATAATTACCCTTTTGATTAAAAAGTTTTACTCATGTCGGGCCAGCTGGGTAGCTCCTTCCATGAGTCTACACTAATTAGGGCCTACTGTATACAATTGTTATCTAATAAGATGAGTGGAGGCCTGTCTCTTTTAATATCATAGATTATAGGAGTATGCAAGAGAGTGCTATGGTGTTCACAATGACAGGCAAAGGATATAAAACATATTTAATTACTTATATGACTTTTTATTTGGACACCTATTTTTCCTTTGTTCTTGTATTGGCTTCATTTTAGTACCATGCAAGAATTCCTTCAACATCAACAGAAACAAGTAATATATAATTTGTTTACAGAATGCATATAAACTCAACCAACCAATTTTCTAAAACCAAAAACAGGATCTCCTACTTATTTCAAATTATAACAATTTATTTTGATACTGGCATACTCGAAAAAGGGAAACAGCTGACATAAAATAAAAAAGATAGAAAAATCTTACATAATTGTCAATAAGACTAAATGCCTTCCCCAAGACCCTAATCCTCATGGCATCCATCTCACCAACTTGCTTTGCAAGCTAAATAAAATGGCAAGTAAAATCAACATGAAAATCAAAAAAGTACTGATCTAAGAAGTTATAAAAACATTCCCGTGTAAAGATATGATATATGAATTTTAATCGCATAATTACATAAGTAGGCATCCTTCAAAATAATGAGTTCACAATAAAAATACCTGGGCTTTAAAGCTATCATATACAACGGCAAGAATAAGATTAGTAAGGAAGTACACTCCCAATAGCACGTAAACAACAAAAAACAAGCAAGACCAGCGCGAACTCCTGCTCAAAGAACATTCTGGTTAAAATTCAGAAAGGACAACATAATAGCTAATGGTCTATCAAATATGATTTCTTGAGGTAAAAAATGAACAGAATTAACCATACATCAAGATTCCAAACATAACAGGCTAACAACCCTTACCAACAAGGATGAAGTTCTGATAAAACCCAAAAGAACCACAAGGATATGCATATCTTCTAATAATTATTATCAATACAACAAGCAAAAATTATTTCATAATTACATTTGTAGACAATTCTTGAAAAAAATTAGAAGATATAATTAAGAAAAACCCTGCCAAATGAATGCGACAAACATGTTCCCATATGGAAACCATGTGCAAATGAAAGCGACAAACACTGCCATCCCGTTAAGGAAAGCTTGTTCCAACATAATCTTGAACACAATACACAAATACCCGTCATGGTGAAATGCAAAGTAGGTCACCAGATTTTATAGTTCATTTCAGACCAGACAATTGAAAGGCGGGAACAAAGTTCAAGTGTTCAGATTTGAAAGTTGATAGAGGTTTATCCAATTTATTAGGAGAAAATATTTGAATCACTTAGTTTAGAATTTTTTTAGGATGTAGAAGGTAAGAAAATGTAGTTGTAGTCTAAAGCTGCTCTAGATTTTAGGTGGACATTGGAGCATGATGAAAATTAAGAAAGCTTCGTAAAGTAATTGAGCAAAGTTGACACCAACAAAGACGAATGCATGGAACATGAACTTACGGAGTAAATCACCTTTTTTGCTTTCGAGAAAGCTCCTAGTGGTATATATATATATATATATCACTGTTCATTACTACTGTTAGATATCATTGGTATTTAGATTTAGGACATATTATGAGATATTATGATATATGATTGGATATTTTTATCTCATACCTATTTTGTAATATCCTCCTAATCTCCATTTAAGAGAGATTAAGGTTAGATGAATAATATCTTTTGTCTTATCTCATTTTCCACATGGTATCAGAGCCTACTCAATCCTAGCAACTTCTCCCATCTTTCTAGATCTCAAGGCCATCGAGAGGGTTTTGCATGGTGTTCCTGCTCCCCTCGGCGTCTACGACATCTTCTGTGACTTTGACAACATTTTTTATTTCTACATCATTCGTTTAACAAATCTTTGACATAAACATCAAAAGGGGGGAAATGGCACTATTCGCATGCTACTGTTCATCGATGAACAGTACCACATGTACTGTTTAGCCTGAACAGTCACCTACCGGTGGTTGGATACTAGCTGACCCGTCTAGGATTTCTCTCTACTGGCTAACATTTCTCTCTACTGGCTGACCCGTTTAGGATTTCTATTGGGTGACTCACCTAAGATTTCTCTCTACTGGTGGATCCGCTAAGGGTTTCTACTAGCTGACCTGCCTAGGATTCCTACAGATTGTTACTACATTTTTCTTATTGCTGACGTCTTCAAGTATTTTGCACAAAGATGACATTGTCAAACCTCTTGCAACTAGTTGTTTTATGTCGATTTGTAACAAGCTGGACGTATATAGCAACATATGCTCTAGCTTGAGAGGGAGCGTTAGATATTATCAGTATTTAAATTTAGGATATATTATAAGATATTACTGAGATATTATGAGATGTGATTGGATATGATTTTACCTCGTACCTATTTTGTAATATCCTCTTATTCTCTATTTAAGAGAGGTTAAGGTTAGCTGGATAACATCTTTTGCCTTCTCTCATTCTCTACAACTACAAACACTAAATTATTAAGAAAGTGAACCAAATTCCCCGAACAAAAAAAAATCTCAATATGCATTTAATTTGTCTCCATTTAATATGTGTTTTGCACTATAAAGGTAGCCCTACAAAATAAATACTCATATGGCTAAGAAATGACAGGAATTATAAATGATATTATAAATTTTAATAACATTAATATTGATCAGCATCTAGATGAACGATTGATAAAATTGTGATTTTGCATTGCAAAAGTGGACCATAAACTTTGTGTACAAAACAATAGACAATAATAAATAAATAAGACAAGCCCGCAACACATCTTACTTGTATGCAGGAATCCATACATCTGGATTATTTGACGTGGTGAAAAGCACAAACATCTGATACAGTGTGGCGCCATAAGAGTGAAACATAATCTTCCCTTGTTGGGTATCTTCAAACGTGACATATGCCAACCAGCTGGCAAACAACAGAAACAACAGCGAAAGTGCCTGAACTCCAAAGAGCAAGCAGATGAAAAGCAAGTAAGAAGAAGCTCTAAAGTCACACATACAAACACGCATGGACAGGCACATGTACCCATGCACACACAGGTAGCTGCAAAGATTTTAATGAAACAAATAACTCCAAGAAACATATCCACCCATGTCCCAACAGCTTTGAATTTACACGCACGCACGCACACAGAAAAACCACTGGAATAGAATATCATAGAAACTGAATTTATTATCTGAATGTTCCTAGACACTACTAAACGTGTGTAATACAGGAAACTGTAATCAGCTTAGGAAAATCATATGCTTAAATGGGGAATAGGCAATAATAATTAGTCACACTTACCAAAACATTCAGGTACATGCCAATCATGCCAGCCAGTGTGACTATACATGTTCGCAATTCCCTGAGAAGGTCATTTACGTTAGATGATGATATTATTAAGTGTAAAAATATCGCTAGTAAATCTCATTTGCAGTTCCAAACTCGTAGAAGCCCGAGTTTAATATAATAATGATAATATAAAATTGTTGCTGAACTCAATTGGCTGGTGTCAGAAACATGCCAGCAATTCATAGTTGCTAGCAACCCAGAGAAATCCCTCTATACCAGTATGAAAATGTTGACTGTAACTCAAGCAAATTTTGTGACATCAAAAAGATAAAAAAAGGAAAACATTAGATTGAACTGATAAAATGTTTATATAAAATATTTGTGCAAACAAAATCTGTTGTGTCTGTAAACAATATGATTATTGCATGTATTTGACTAAAATGTTTTTCTCCTTGTTTCTCAAAACATACTTGGGTTAAGATTGATACAACAAACAAGAAGATGTCGGACTAAAAAGCCATAATTTACATTGGTAAATGTGCAATACAATTCCATGTCAAAAGTAATTGGTTTGGTAGCTCCGCAACTTCACATGACATGTGATTACTTTAAAATGTCAGTTTATGAATAAGTGCTAATACAATACCCTATTCCATGTTAATTCCCTAATCCCTTTCTTTATATAAATGTCTCTAACCTCTCTTCCCCATTCTCCACGACCACCTAACTTGCATGGGGGTGATTATTTGCCCATCGAACCATCTCCTCCCCTCTTCAAGAAAAATCAGTGTGTATTTTCCCAATCGAACCATCTCCTCCCCTCTTCATGAGAAATTTGTGTGCGTGTACGTGTGAGAGAGAGAGAGAAATGAGTATGCTTGGTACCAAGTAGAAATTTGGTGCTTGGTACCAAGTAGAAATTTGGTGACATGGATGCTTCCCATCCACACATTTAAAGTTGTCTGTTTAAAAATGGTCTCACTTGATTACCCAACCATAAAAATATTTATAATTGATTTTGTTTTTTTTTTAAATTAGTTTCATCTATTAATGTCCTCAAATCCATGATCTTTTCATTTCAGTATAACTTCGCTCGACTTCCTTCTTCTTTTTTAAGTTTTTGGTGAACAAGATTAAAAGATAAGCAAACCTCATTACTAGAAAAATTAAACTGTGATTTGCTAACCCTCCATTCTTTTTTGTAAAAATTTAAACAAAAAGTGCCAAGAAGAGAGATGTTTTCCTCAGTCCCTCATCTATCCTTTTAAAAAATATATTCTATTTAAAATTTCTCTGTCATCCTAACTATGCCACCTACAGCCCTCGTTTTTGTTGTTTTTCTTATTTCTGAACTATAAAAAATTTAAATTTATAGAAATTTTTCTATTCGTTCTTTTATTTTTGGAATAATAATAATAAATCTTTAAAACTAATAACGAGTTAGGGACACAATGGACCCCACAAAAATAAAAAATAATTAAAGAAATAAAAATTGCATCAATTATCTCCTATTACTAATCTTAAAGCATGAAAAAGAAGAACATAGGGTTAGAAAATACGGGAGGAGATTTTTGTTCCCCTTACTTCAAAGAATGGAGTCCCTGTCAGAACATAGGGTTAGAAAATACGGGAGGAGATTTTTGTTCCCCTTACTTCAAAGAATGGAGTCCCTGTCATAGAATCTTTTTCTAGTGAGTGCGCATTCGCAAGCTATTCCCTTCTCCACTTCATCAATCACCGCAAACAATCGCTTTAAAACAGGCGGACCAGTATGTCGACTGGCCTAAAATACTTCAAGAAGTTATGCAAGGGCAACCTGTATTATCGAATAGAGCACCTACCCTACATAGATTGGGCATATAGGTGTTCCAACCCATTTTAGTGGAAGGCCGCGTGCCCTTAATAAAATGGAAGATTACTCCAATCTTTTCACCTCAGAATTTGAAGTCATAAGCTTAGACTCAGAGTTCATCGAAGAGGTGATGGAATCCCTTACATTTCTTTGTTGCGCCATATGATAATTCTACTTTAGAAGCACTGATTTCAATCTTCCTACTTTCTTTGCTGCACACGACTTTTTCACGGAGTCTGCTTCCACAATTGCTTGAGCGACAACCACCTTGTGTCCCTCCCAAGAGCATAATAGTTATGTGTGCATGCATGCAACCTACCTACCTACATACATATATAGAGAGAGATAGAGAAAGATCGTGGGAGCGACCGCCGAAGCACTGAACCGCCAATGGTGAGAGGCGAGGGAGGAGCTTCGAAGTACCGATGGCGTAGGAGGAGGAGAAGTTTATTATGTCATTTGTTCTTCCTACAATCTAAAATGCAGGTGTCTTGTCCCTCTTTGCATCAGTGCCTTAGTTAGAGGGTTACTTCCACTTCTTCTAAATCTTCCTCTTGAATAGAAGTTCTCTTGCTCAAAGTACCACATGTGCTTGCCTCTGGATCAAACTATGCAATGGTAGGTATTAACTATTTACCATCAAGCTTAACGTGTTTTGACTTGTCATACAGTCTTGCAATTGACTAGAATCCAAAGACTGTCTAAGTGATAAAATTATGAAAATATGCTAATTCCATTGCAATCTTGAGACATATGCATGATATTGATACTTAGATTTTGTCAAATAAACATTCAAGACTATGTGCGTGAGATCCAACACAATTTGTTTAGTTGATTACACATCACACTAATGGATTTGTCAATACCTGCATGCACATCAATGGAATATAGCTATGTCACCGTATCTAATTTTTAGAAGACCCCCTTATGGGCATTGTAAGAGATATAGTTACTTGATAACTGTGTCCCATTTCCATGTAACCTGGTAACGTGTGATTCCCATCTGCAAGTGTAGTTGCTTGGAGTTATTATCTCCACATCAGTGTAAAAGTTTTGTGGAGTCTCTTTCACCATGAGGAAGGCTAATTTCGGTATATAAAGATTAATTAAGGTGTACTTATTTAAAACTCATCATCGATTTATAGAATTACATCACCTAATGTACTCAAACCTATAGCTTCCTCTTATTCTAGGGTAATGGGTCACTCAAAAGTAATGTGCATAATGTCAATAATCCATGGACTAAAGGATAGAATGAAAATGTGTGTTTCCAAACATTTAAAAAAAACAAAGGTTTTACCTTATTGTCAAAGCTAAAAAGGCCACGCGGATATATGGAGCAAATCTGAAAGGTATATAAGCCACCACCAGGGGAGAAACATAAAGAGCATACACCAACATATCACACATCAATATTAAGACAAGCAAGACCTGCCAATGCAGTAGAAGAGTTACATTTTTCACCAACATATCACACATCAATATTAAGACAAGCAAGACCTGCCAATGCAGTAGAAGAGTTACATTTTTCAATCGCATTAAAACACCAGAAAAGTACTTTCACTTCAAAAATTTCAACCATTGCAGTTCCTGTTTGTAATAATCTTGGTCATCATGGCTAGCAATGACTAACCATTCAGCTGGATCCCAGTAAAAAGAGGTTACAGATTCAACTCGATAAGGGTGTATAAGTTGCCAACATAGATTTAGATTTTATGTGAGTGGGTGATAATGTTCAAGGGGCAAGGTGTTCATATAACACAACAAGGTACTTTCAATCTTAGTTCTAAGAAAGGATCTTACACTCTGTAATATTGGATTTTTAATTATTAATAATCGTTTATTCAATTATATCCGAATAAGAACCAAGAGAAACATATACTGATATGTTTAGATTCCATTAGCAAATTTGGATGGAGAGAATATTCTAAAGAAAATCATGAAATCACTAATTTGCTTTTCAGACTTATATTTCTAAAGTTGCAAAAAGGAACTTGCAAATAGCTTTCACGTTAAACTTGAATTATAAATTCAGTCCCCCAGAATGGAAAGATGATGGTAAATTTGTGATTTTGAACTTGTATCCAACTTGTATCCACTTCGTGCTAGACTAGTCAGCTACAAGTTCCATCATCTGATCGGACGCAAAAAATAAAATAAAATTGAACAATAGTTAGTGTAAACTAAATGGTCTTGTACAGTGTACCTTCAATTCTTGATGGACTTAGGTCGTGATAGTGATAGTCACTTTAACTGATATTTTCAGTTTATCATGTATTTACATGTCACGTCATAGATAACTAACTAAGTCTACAATTCAGGATGGATTACATTCCAAATGAAAACCGTAGTATTTCTCAGTTCAAATTGCTTCAATTAGAATTATGGTGACTTTGGTGCCGAATTCTCACCAAGAAACAGGGAATGCTTGCAAGTCGTGACCTTACCCAACCCAAACAAAGAAGAAGAGGATGAAGAAGAAAAATGAAGGCAAAGAGAAAAAAAACATATGTGGTAGGTTTTGTCTTCGTCATTACTTATCAGTCAAATAAAAAGGCATCAGTGTGGGTGAGAAAATATAATGCTTGATTTATTAATAATATAACATTCTTTGAATTTTTGACAGCCATGTATATGTGGAGTTTAATACATTTAATCTTTCAAAATAATATAACATTCTTTGAATTTTTGACAGCCATGTATATGTGGAGTTTAATACATTTAATCTTTCAAATAGGAGTTGTATCTTGCAGAATGTATTCATGTGCTTCTTCAATAAATTAATATACAGCTCCTTCGCATGATTTAATGTAGTCAACACCTCATAGAAACAAAATATCAGCTCAACATGCGACCAACATCAACATGCCTTTTTTTGAAGTTGGAAACTATCAACATGGCTATGTTATTAATGATATAACATTCTTTCTATGTAGAAGCCGATATAACATTGTGAGAATAAAGCTTACTATACATTAGCATGGAAAATTGCAAAGAATGTTGAAGTATATATTTTTCATTTAGTTAAATACGGATGAGCCTCTTGTAGTGTTGTCCAATTGCGGAAAGAAACCTTGTAGTTCTATTGTTACGGATAGCCCCCTTGTATATTATGCCTAAGAGCAGATAAAACCACTCAGTGAACTTGTTTAACTCTTTAGGAGCACTTCTAGCGACACTCGCCCAAGTCGAGTGTCGCTCTCACTCTATTAGGAGGGGACATGTGTCTAATAAAACCAACCTGACCCAAAATCTAACCCTATAGATTTTGAACCCAACAACCCCCTTTCATTTTTTGAGAAAGTGTCTAAGGACACTTGCCTAAGGCAAGTGTCTTTAGACTTTACTCCTCTTTTAAGAGTCAAGAACGTTAGCAATTGGGGGTCTATCTGCACCAATAGAACTAGAGGAGGTATAAACGCCCATATAAAACTTTGTTGGACTCTTTTTGGAGTAAAAAATAATCACCCAGGGGGCTATCTTCACATTAGAATTATAGAGAGTCTATCTGCAATTGGGGGATACTACAGAAGGTCACAATTAACTCTTTTTTATTTGTACCTCAAAACCCTTGAGAGATGAACAAGAATAGATTTTGTCCAAGCATTGCCTAATCAATACCAAATCCGTACATAACAATAATTTCAGAACGAAATAATGAAACTACTAAGCAATAAGCTAACCTTTAGCTTGTTCAGGTGATTCTTCCAATAAAGATGGAAACCTTCATATGCAAGTGGAAAAACTGTATATAACAGGAGTATAAGTAGAGTAACTCCCTGCATACAGAATTATTACAGATATGAGTTTCCTTCTAAAAACATTAAATACATTGACATATAACAGAATAATATAACTATTTCAGAAGTGACTAGAAATACTGACTAAAAGTAACTGTTCAAGATAACTTCTTCTAGTTAACCTATAATTATCAGTTTTAACATAGTTAAGCCTTCAAAATAATGGAGCCTCATGCATTATAATAAAGAAGATCACTGTCTGAGCCATTTCAGACTTGAGAGATCAGTAAAATTTGGTTATTTACGACTAAATAATAAACAAATTTCGAAAATCAAACAGATTAGATTTACAGATACTGTTGGTGAAATTTCTCTCCACCAGCATGCATAAAAAGAAAACGAAAGACTCAAAAAGTTACTGTAATCAACGGCAAAGTAGCAAATGGTCCTGAAAGAACAAGTTCAAATGGTGTTCTTTATACCACTTTCCACTTCTGATGTTTGTTAACGGTTGAAGGGGCCGTACTTATCTTTAGCCTCCTGTTCCAGCAACTCAACTTCTTTCCTGCTATAAGAAAGCTCCTTGGCTACTATGCCCTTCCTATCCTTATCTCACAAAACTTCAACAGTTTTGTTTCTCCCGTAGGGAAGATGAGCACTTAGGGTAGTACGCTGTAGTGAACTACAGATCTTTAGCTAAAATATTCACCCTCATATAATAAGGGTGAGACTGTGGAACTCCCAAACTATCCAGTCCTAGGTCAACTGGCATTCTGAATAGAGGGGTATGATATTTTCAGTGAAATTAACAATCGGCTGAATCATACTGACGGAATCACAAACAGTAAAGCTAAGGGTACTGACAATTAGAATGTACTTTTAATTAAATCAAGGAGGTCGCTCTCACTAGAGTTAAATAAAAGAGAAGGATTCTTGTAGCCAACCCCACAGGTGTGTGGCATAAATTTTGTGGTCTATACATAAGTATTTAGGATAGGCTATTAAAGGCAGATAAGTTCTTTGGCGCACGAAGGGATTTACTCTGACTTCTCTGCTCAATGCAGCTCGAGAGAAAATGCTATCAGATCTCTATCCAATAATTTGGACCAGTGTAACTGTGGAGGTATGGTAGGTTGAAACTAGTTATGATGCCAAAGATGAGAATCCTACAGTTGTACTCTATTTAAGTTCAAGATGCTAAATGTTTCAATATATGGGAACAATTATCTGCATAATCTATAGATCTCTGCAGCTAGTGAGTAGCATACCGCATATGCCTGTCAAGAAAGAATATAAGACCTGGAGGATACAGAGCACGAAAACTAAGGTGGAAATGAGAACTAAGAAATCTTGATGACATATTGATGTCTGTGCTTCTGAAGGATTACTTTTATAAAAGTTGGATCTCTTAAAATATGTTGTCTCCAGCTAATTGGGCATCATTTTTCATGGTCAACACTGGATATAAGTGTACTTATTGCTGCTGCCTTTAATATAGATGAATAAAAGTAATATGTTTATCTGGTACCACTTAAATAACAAAAGGAGAAATCAATTTGAGTATAGTAATAACATGATCTGTTAATACAAAAACGTACCAAGCCACAACAGAAACTGCAGTTAAAATTTGACAGATCATTTTACTCGTAAAACTAGCCATCATAGAGCCAAAAAGTGACAGGATACCAATAGCGACAAGGCCAACTCACAATATCAAAATGTAGAATTGAAAATACAGAGATCTACATTTGTCAACAAATAGCTTTACCTCATAAATGAGAGACTCGGCACTGGTTAGGTAAGGTAATTGTCCGAGGAAAAAGTAATCTCTGTCATTGCAAGAATAAAGACCAGATTTGGCACACCAGAGAGGCTTCTGTTATTATTAAAATAATCAGTGATTTTGTTTCGATACTTTAAAAGAAATAAAAAAATCAGCAGCAGAACCAACAAAAAGGAATATTTTCCAGGAGTCCTAACATATATATTCTTCAAAGGGTATCATTTTACAAATTCAAATTTAATATTTCTTCTGAGCTAACCTCTACTATGTTTGATGGACGAAAAGGAAAGATAATCACAAAGAAGAAACTAACCTCAAGAAAATTGAGTAGTACTAGGGCAAAGAGATTCAAGGACCACAGTAAATCAAGTCGAATGTACATAAAGTAGTACTTTGCAGCCTCTTCAAATCTCAGATCATTTAGAACTTCTTCAGGCAGACCAATACCATCTTCTGCCTGTAAGTATACCCAGCAAACTGCTCAAGCTCACATCGCAAATAAAAAATTCATAGTTCAAAGAAGAAAATTTATATATATAAATGATAATACAAACCCTAACCCTATTATGAGATCTCTTGGGCTTATATAGGCCCTACACAACTTACACATAACCCCCTACATATATTACTAATGTCAACACTCCTCCTCAAGATGGGCGAAAGATATCTATTAAGCCCATCTTGTCACATCCTCTAATCATATCTACTGAGCTAAGTCCTTTAGTCAGACAATCTGCTGCCTGGTCCTTAGTCGAAACATGACTTAGCTCCAGTAGTCCACTATCCAACTTCTCTTTGATGAAGAACCTATCGATCTCGATGTGTTTGGTTCTATCATGCTGCACTGGGTTGTTGGCAATACTGATAGCTGACTTGTTGTCACACCATAACTTTATCTTAGCTCCTTGATCCAGCTTCAGCTCCACCAGCATACTCTTTAACCATAGCAACTCAGCAACTCCTAAGGCCATAGCTCTATACTCTGCCTCAGCAGTTGATCTCGCCACCACTGATTGCTTCTTGCTCTTCCACGAGACTAAGTTACCCCCTATAAAGATGCAGTATCCCGAGGTGGACCTCCTGTCATTAGCACAGCTAGCCCAATCGGAGTCGCAATAACCCTCGATGCTCACATGTCCATTTTTCCTGAATATCAGTCCCTTTCCAGGGGCACTCTTCAGATATCTCAGAATCTGGTACACAGCGTCCATATGACCCTTCCTTGGATCATGCATGTAGCGACTCACCACGCTCACTGCAAAAAAGATATCGGGACGTGTGTGATACAGATAGATCAACCTGCCTACCAGCCTTTGGTATCTGTCACGATCAACTGGTTCTCCAGCCTCAGCACCCAGCTTGAACTTCTGGTCGATCGGTGTAGTTGCAGGTTTGCACCCTAACATTCCTGTCTCTTTGAGAAGATCCAGTGCATACTTTCTCTAGGATAGGACGATCCCCTCCGCTCCTCGAGCTATCTCTATTCCAAGAAAGTATCTAAGCAAGCCAAGATCTTTCACCTCAAATTCCTTACCCAGTCTCACTTTGAGTTGGGCATGGAAGCAGGGTACAACAACAGTATATTTCTGGAAACTATACTATGTTTTCGTCTCAGGCTATTTAGATTATTCTTTGTCAATAGGGTGAAATTTGTTATGGGATATAGGGGTGTTTGAGCCAATTGGTCAATTGTATTTTTTGTTCTTTCACGTGACAGGTAGAAAGGTTTTTGGTGGATTTTGGTGGAGTGAAATTTTATTACGGAGCACGTGTAGTATTTCCAACTATAAATTGTTGAAGCTGCGAGTTTCTTCTTTCTATTATTATTATTGAATTGCATACTTACAACTTATATACATCTGTTAGTTTTACCCCCAATTTCTTTTACCAACCTATGTGAAAGAAAAGGTTAGTTCGAGTCATCTCCTGTTTGTGACAATGTATTTGTTGTTCTAAAAAACAAAGTAATAATGTAATTGTTATTTGGACTAAAAGATTATAAAGTGAGAATCTCATTTTGGTTCTGGAGTACTCGAGTTCTAACGCAAAAACTTCAGGGGCTTTGCTACAGAGATCCAAAATATGGGACCAATAGAGGGGACAAGTGAGGTGTCTCCTCTATTGGTCCCATATTTTGGGTCATTGAGGAATTTTTCGTTGTTGAAAATTACATTTCCGTGCGGTGCGTGTTTGATTGTCCTGAATGCATTTATGGCACCCACATTATTGCTTCAATTATGAGGAACGCTCATCGCCATCGTTTTGAAGTGTTTTCAGTTGGTTGTAATCAACAACTGTACTGAATATGAAGGGACAAGTTTATTTTTGTGTCTCTCGAAGAATGCATTGTTTTTTCTTGGTTGGTTGCTATTTATCATAAGCGGAGCAAATTTCTTTAAACTATTTTTGTTTGGTCTCTATCCTTGTGCAAAATAAGGCTTGCTTTTGATTTCTTTGAATCTGTGAATATTCAGAGGCCTTGAAATACTCCCGAATTTTATGTTAGGAAACATACGCAATGTATTCCTTCATATTCTATTAAAATGATTAGTATTTCAAAGTTAGCAAACATGTATATTATATTAAGATGATTAGTGTTTTTCTCTTCCACCATTTGGGCCCATTGTTGATGATATTAAGTTACTCGTTAGAGAATTTGTCTTTCGTAGCTTAGCTTTTACGAGGAGAGAAGCCAATTGTATGGCTCATTCTCTTGCTCAGTCAGGAACTAGATTCATGCAAGATCAAGTATGGAGAGATTTTATTCCTGTATACTTACAGAGATTTGTACTTCAAGATTTATCTGCTACTTATTAATGAATGAAGTGCTTCTCCATAAATAAATAAAAAAAGATGATTAGTATTTTTAAAATAGGACTAATCTATCCTAAAATAGATTACATTGACGGAATTGAGGGAGGGACTTAAGGGGAGAGACAGAGAGGTGTCGCCAACGACGAGAGGCCAATGTAGTTGAGGTGGCCAACGGCAAGGGAGCTAGGGTAAAGGAGAGAGGGTGGCCGACGAGGTGGGGCATGTATTTTTGTCATTTTTATCGCTTTTGCGTTTGGAAATTAACAAAGTTTATATGAAACATTTATTTTGACTAACGTTTAGAAAATATTGAGAGAAAATAGAAAATAATGACATTTGATGGATAAGTATGCAATGAGAGTTTGGAGTTACACGGACTAGCTGGATCGCACATGCATAATGCACGTGACCAAAAATAGAAATTGTAACTACATACTTTGAAGAAAATTAACACAGACTATATATATATATATATACAGCACGTTTCCTATACGGATAATGCGTACGCATTTTCCGACCTGGGGGGCTTTTTTGCAAAAATCGCACGAGAGAAAGCTTTCTCGTGATCAAAGTTGGTTTTCAAAGTTTCCCATTTTTCGAGGCTCACTCCTGATATTTCTCCCCCAAACCTTTGCTTCCCTAAAACAAAAATCCCCAAATCCCTCAAATCGTTCCCAAAAAAATCCGACCTGGTCAGCTCCGTCGAAGCAAGCTTTCTCGGCCTCGTCAGCTCCGTCGAAGCAAGCTTTCTCTGGTCGGAAAACCCCTCCTCCTTCCGACGTCGAACCTTCAGCTCCACCGCGATCTCGGCCTTGTCAGCTCCGTCGAAGCAAGCTGCGGTCGGAAAACGTCCTGGTCCGCCGCTCCTTCCCAATTCGTCCGACGTCGAAAGCTCCGTCTTCTTCAAGCAGGCCCAGGTCGGCTTTCCCCTAATCTCGCCGACGACGAATCCCCAAATCCACACCGACGACGAAGCCCTAATCACCCGACGACGAAGCTCGCATCTCGCCCGACGACGAAGCCCTATTCTCGCCCGACGACGAAGTCTGAGCTCGATCTTAAATCTCCCAACTCAGGTAACGATCAAGCCCCAATTTTTTTACCTATTATCTGTTATTTTCGTCCATAGGGTTTATCTGTTATCAGTTTATCTCTCAAAATTGATGCTGGAATAATCAGTTTATCTCTTAAATCTCTCAAAATTTTTGTGTAGTTGATCTGTTTTTGCTGGAATAATTGATGCAATGAACTTCAACATTGACTGTAATTCTGCAGCGATGAATCTGTGTTTTTGCCATGTTGCCTACATATGTGCTAGTCCACGAACTTCTTTATAACAAGTTTCGTTACATGCTTCTCAAGTTTTTTACCTATTATCTGAGCTCGATCTTAAAAATTGGTTGTGTAGTTTATCTGTTATAATTATGTAGTTTATCTGTTATTTTTGTGTAGTTTATTTGTGTAGCTTTAGGCGTTGCAATTTGGAATAATTGATTATCTGTTGTTGCTGGAATAATCAGTTTATCTCTCAAAATTGATGCTGGAATAATCAGTTTATCTCTTAAATCTCTCAAAATTTTTGTGTAGTTGATCTGTTTTTGCTGGAATAATTAATGCAATGGAAAAATTTTGTTAAATGGTCAAAGTTCCCAAAATACATCTGTTTCTTGGAAAACTAGTCAGACTTTGTAAGGTTTGATAGCTATATTATTATTCAAAATTGGCAGATTGAAAATTTTGTTAATTGTTAATTGTTCAAAAATTAACCATGGTAGAATTTTCTCAGAATTTTGTTAATTGTTCAAAATTAGCAGATTGAAATGGCTTCATCATCAACTGTGGAAGGCAACTCCTGTGTTGAAGTTGATATTAGATTCATATTGAAACAATGCGAGTGTGGTGAATTAGCGGATGTGAAGATAACGAAGTCGAACAAGAACAATAACCGTGGTAGAATTTACTACTCGTGTAAAAGGCAAAAGTGCGGTTCGTTTTTGGGCTGGTGCAAGATTTCATCAGTTGAACAAATACCACTCGTCATTGCCCCACCAGAGGCGCGTGACGTGGTTGTTGTACGTGAAAAAGTGTTGTGGAAATGGTTAACTGTTATAGCTTTTTTGTTGTCTCTTTTTTTGGCCATGAAAGAAATTATGTGATGTGTTGGAATGAAACAAGACTTTGTAAGCGAGGAAATTATGTGTTGTGGAATCGGTATTTTGTTAAGAATGTTTCACGCTTTGATGTAATGGAATGAAACAAGTTTGTTAATTTTTGCGTTTTGTGTTGAAATAACCGTGATGTGTTGGAATGAAACAAGCTTTGTTAAGAATGTTGGGCTTGTTTCGCACGATTATGAGGATGATGGAAAGAGTATGAGTAGTAGCACTAGCTGCTGCTCTTTTGGAGCATGAAACTCTGTCAGGGACTCAGATCAATGAGTTGCTGGCTAAATTGAGTACACAAGAGGAGCAGGTACTCGTAGAAGTTTCAGAGAGTAGTGCACAGAGATTTGTGGCTGCTGCTGCAGTGAAAGCCAAGGGAGTTGCTCAGCCTGTTGTGGGATCTTAGCAATGGTAATAAATTTTTATTGGTGTATGATTAGTGTATAGTTTTGTATGAGCTTTAAGTGGCTCCACATAATTCTCATATTACTCGTATGGGATTGGAATTGTGTTGTACTTGGACGAATATTGTTAGCTCTTATTCTGGCATCCATACAATCACCATTTACAAGCTCCATTCACATATTTCTGCATATCTTTGACGTTAGCTGGAAGTTTCAAAGGGTAGCAAGTTCTGGGTCAATGTTCGAATCAAGTACACAATTTGGAAAATAGTTCTCTCAAAGGGGTGGTTTATGTAAATGATTTATGGCTTCTCTATTCTTGATGTTTACATACACAATGTAGAGCAAATTATATTGGTGTCATATTTTTGTGCAGTTGTTAAAAGCATACGTTTTGCTGTAGGATTCCATGGAATTATGGAGAAGCTCTTGAAGTTGCCTTTTCCCTTCTAAATGGAAATTCATATCAGTTAACAAAACCAGCAACACCATAAACTTGCATGTTTACAACTCAAGTCCCAACAGAAAATACAGCAACACCATAAACTTGCATGTTTACAACTCAAGTCCCAGCAGAAAAATCAGTACACATTACAATACATTGCAATCAAACATAAACAACTAGGTAGTTAAATGTTGACAATAATCAGACCACTCCTGATTCAAGCTCCTAGTTAACACACTCCTCATTCAAGCTCCTGATTCATAAGCTCCTGATTCAAGCTCCTGATTCAAGCTCCTGATTCAAACAACAGAAATCAGTTTGAGAAACATATAAGCTTTTGAAGTAAGTTAGGTAATTATTTAAAAAATTAGTATTATTGAAGTAAGATAGCAAATCTGTTATTGAAATCAAGCGAGGGAAAAAAGGGGTAAAAGCCTTTGTACATCACAAATCAAAAGCATATACTTGGATCTAATTACTACTATGTTTTGGGACTCACCATCCGAATGGGACACGATTCCTGTACATAAAAACAAGAGACTATGACAAAATTTAAGTAGCATACAGATTTTCAAAGATGCAATTCACTGTACATATAATTACTACTTGTTTCATTGTTGGAATAAAACAGTGCAATCAGTTCTTTTCTGAACCAGCAGATTCAAACACACATTTTCATAGCATGTCCAGTGACGCGTTGCTTTAAAAAGTCAGCAAGTAAAGACTTTGTAGTATTCACTTTTTAGACAATCATCTACATGCAACAAGGTATGACCTTCAGCTACATTACATGTGAAGAAAATAAATAGCAGAGAACACATGGAAGTTTTCACATGTTGATTTCTGGATAAGAGAATTTCAGGTGTCAAATATTTACAGTTTTCCTGAAATAAGCAGGAAAGACCTCAAGTATCAGGTTTCAGACTCGGTTACTTCGTTTAAGAGGGAAACTTCCATTGTACGACTAAGCAAAATTGTTATTGAATATTTTTGCCATTTATCTTCGATTAACCATTTCAGCTAAACTAGAGCACGAAGAACGTACCTCACAAAGAGGTAAATCAGTATTATATATTTGTTCTAGAATTATTGTTTTGTGCATGTTTACAATATGTGAGTAATTACAATTATTATTCATTTACAGATCAGAAAAGATGTAACTAGACCAGAATCTTGAAAATCCTAAAAGGTAAAACGATTAATTTATTATCTACACTACAAACAAATCTCGAGTCTACAATATAAAATGATATATAATTTAAAAAGTTGTCATAAATAAAGATATTTATCAAATTCCAGCATGTGCAGCTTTTCTTTTTTTCTCTTTTTAACTTAGATTAATTGATATTTTAATAGGAAACCCAACCGAAGTTCTAATTTGAGTGGTTTCATTTTTATTTTTACTCAATAAATAATTTGTTATGTCAAAATTAGAGTCTATTCAAACATATCCTTTTCGTTTTAATAGTAGGTGGCTAGAGGAGTTTGATATTTCTGAAGGAAAAATAAAGTGACAAGAATTGATTGTTTAGAATTAACCAATTGTGTTAACATGAATATGGTTTATATTTACCTAAACTTTCAATATTAATTTTGAAAATTTAAAAGGATTTGATGGACTTTTTTTTACAGGACTTTGATGTATTAATACGATGATTCTTTTGTTATGAAAAACACAGTCCTATCACCTATGGGGAGAGAAGGGAACACGATCAAGGTATTTATAGATTCAGGAGCCAAGAGAAATTGACAATTCCTGTGCATTTATCTAGGATGTAACAATAGGAAGACATGAAAGAGGGAAAAAGGAAATTTTTGGAAGGCTATGAAAGGCATTCAGGAAAAAGTCACACCTCTAAAGACCACCAATACCCACTTAGATGAAAACTAAAAATTTGGAAAATGAATCTCCACAAAAATTGTGCAGCCAAATGAATAAAAGTGCTCATATTGAAACTTAAACAACAAAATAAATCCTCCTTATTGTGAGCTTGCAGTCATGTTCTTAAATCTCAATATTTCTTCAAGGAGAAGAGTTTTCAAACTAAGATGGAATAGCTGCAACTTCAGCCAATGAGTCAATATTAAGTTCTTGAAAAAGGACCAAGAATTGCAGTCCCTAGCAAACAAGATGGTTGGCTAGAGAAATATAGTATCAGTGTCTTCCTACTTTTAGCGTTCATTGTAAAAGCAGAAGTTGGAGCTGTAGAAATATCCAAACTTGCCATGGTAATTCACACAGAACAAACCCTAATTAGAACCAAAATTCAAGAACATCCACGAGATTTAGACCAAGTGTCCTCTCACACTCACGTCAAACGACGCCTGATCACTATCCGCGAGTTCAAAGGGGGGGAGGGGGTGCAAAAATTGATAGAGAATCAACGATCGATTTTAGAAAGAAGAGTAACGAACCAGATCGACGAGGGCCGCGGCCTTCTGAAAGCGCGTCCCGTAAGCGATGGCATCGGACCTCCGCTG